GCTTTTCTACAATCGCGTTGGAACCTTCGTTCGAGAAAAATCTCGAGGTATGGAGACAGAGCAATTTCACCGCTAACTAAGGTTTGCGCCTAGATCAAACTATTCATAGCAAGCTCTTGTATGATTCCAGATCAAGTCCAATCTCGCCGAGAAACATTGACGAACTGCCGAGTTTTCTGTATCTCCGGAAGTTTACGAGGCAAACAGTTTTGTTTTAAATTTCAAATGAACGAATATACTTCGACTTGAGATGGCGGCGGGACATTTCCAGGTTTAACAACTAACTGCGAGTGGCAGCAGCTCCGGCAGCCTCGGTGGTAGCGCGAGCATGATCCGGCCATGGAAGCTCTCAATGGCGTCAAGAAGAGGCATTTCAGGGCAGAGGCTTTCCAGTGGCCCTTCTCGACCAAGCGCAAGAAGATCTCCAGGGACATCAATGTCGCTACTCCTTCTCCTCCTCCTTTACCTCCTCACCCTTCCTCACTCCTCCTCCCTTGCCCCCGGTACCAAACTTTCTCCGCGCGCTCCAGGCCAATGCTCTTCGGACAATGTCGGTGAATGGGAAGGGCTTCCTATCGAATCCTTGGTCGAACAGGGCAGCTTGGTCCAGGGTCCAGAGCACGCTCGGGTCGAAGAAGGATCATGGTGGGGATTTGATGAACAAGAAGAGGCAGCTGGAGCTGTGGGACTTGGCGGGGTTCTCTCGTGAGAAGTTAAAGCTTCTCAATGAGATTGAGGTGCTCATCGACTTGGAGGAGAATGCTTTGAACATGGAAGCTTCTGCTAAGGTTGGTCGAAGGCTCCTTCTTTCTTGAGTTTAGACCGTCGTTTTATTTCTTCTTTCTTCTTTATAGGCCGCGGAAGGACGTCTTCGAAGCTTGCTGGATATCTGCGTATGCTCTCAATGCCAGGAGAATATAAAGAACAGGATAGCTCTACCGAAAAGTAAAGAGAGAAGGAGAGGCGCTTCGTTCTGGGAAATGTGAAAGAAGCTATGGAGCGTGACCGGGTTGCACTTGACAACTTTCTGCAGAAGCAGAGGCTCAAGCATGAAGCGTCTAAGCAGAAACTTAAACCCGAGAGGCTATTCGCGACGTATACGAATCGTGGCCAGAGCAAGCTGGTGGACTCGAGGAGCTTTGAGCGACGTTGGAACACGATCGAGGCATATCCCGGAATGATCATCATGGAGGCGCTTGAAAATTTTTGGAGCTCGTGCCCGAGTGTAACGGACTAATTTTTCCGATGCCAGAGAAAGATTGCATGTACTGGTGGTTTCTTAAGGTAAATTAGGGTACGTTCTTTGAATGCTGCGTGCTGCCAACCAACAATTGGAAAACTCGAGAAAGTTCTTTATTGCTATTCTCCTCGTATGGTGGAACCATGTGTAAGTTGTTGACTAGCAAAAGCCCTGCTGGTGAAATCCATAAAATTTGTAAGTTTAGGGTTTGATAGCAAAAGGCTTGAAAGATGAGAAGTTGGTGGATGAGTTTAATATTACTATTAACAGTAACTCAAAGTTTATGAGTGAAGTTATGAGAACTTTGACTGTATTACTAATGATTCTTGATTATAATATAATTTTGGGTTCACTTTGGATACATAAACACTACTTAGAGTTAGACTGCAGTGGCATAATAAATACTTTAACATTTGAGGACTACATATTGCCTCATGGGTGATTGCAACTTATCTAAGTCTAGAAAATACAAGAGAATAAATCAACATATACATACTGTGGGAGAATCAATGATCAGAAAATCAGAATTGAAATAGATAATGGTTGTGCAAGTTCTGGAATACTTATCGGGAAACTCGGGGTTAAAGTAGTTCACGATTCCAAGTATTTTGCAGAAAGACTAACTCCATAAGTTCAAATGAAAGTTATGGAATTGGTATGTTATAATTAAACTTTTTAGAAAGAAGAAATTTTATTGGTCTAGAAGATTATAGAGAAACCATATTTCTTGGGATTGACTGGCTTCATAATCACTCAGCAATAATTAACTACAGGAATCATATTGTTACTTTTATATCCAAAGAGTTGGATTGTTGGTATAGATTTCAATACCCATCTGGTATATATGAAGCAAGTAAAGATAGATTTGGCAAAGAGATGAGTAGTTTGTGTTGGTGCTCATTTTGACCACAAATTTAATAAATACTTTTTTAGCACAGTCCATTTTGTTTGGTTTGTTTTGCATTACCAGATTATGGTCTTTTCATGCCTTTCCATTGTTGGTAATTCTTTTGAAGCACTATGAAAAGCAAGGGTGCAAGATGATACATTAATTATGGGAAGTTGACTACAAGATATATATGTAATTTGCTTTAGTATATGTGAAAGTTACCACAAAGGTGATATATACACGTTAGCTAGTAACTTGTTTTGGTATGTACATAGTATAATTCTGCCTCCTTGATCAAGTTATGATCAAGTTGCGATGGAGCCAGAGATCACAAATCAGAGGTAACACTTAAGTAGTTTAGTAATTTTCAAAATAATGGTGCATGCCATATATAGACATGTATTTATTCCAACTCATAAGTTTGTATTTTATACATTTAGAAAAAAAGAAAACTATGTAGGAAAATTTGGATAAATTTTTGTCATAAGAAATACTCAATGAAATATTATAGTTGTTTCAAAGTCATTTTACTCTAATCTATGTTGGTGCTTAGTGTTAGACAATTTTAATAAATAATTTCAATTAAATATACCATGAATATCCAATAATATTTCAATCCAATGCTAAATAAAACACTAATAAAAATAACAATAATGTTAATATAAATAAGATATATAGGCACCTGGCGTTTAATTTGGGTAATATAAATGAAACCATAATTGTTTCAAATTACAAAATGAATAATCTTGTTTAATAGTGAGTATTATTTATAACTATAATATTATTTGGAAAATATAAATAATCATTCTCTTTCTGTTAAACTTTATACATATGTATAAATATATATGTTATATTTTTTAGTGAATAATTTATTTGTACTTTTCAATTTATCTAAATTTTTTGTTTTCATAAACAAACCTGTAGAAAGGTAGTGGATATATCTAAAATATGCTTGGATATTTTAAGATATTTTCTAACAGTTGTTATTCATTTGAATTAATCTGTAAACTTTCTTAAACACTTCTTAATATATTCTAGTTTATTCTACATTCAAATGGTTGATATTAAATAAGATTAATCTTGTGTCTATAAATTATCAATATCTTTATAATTATAAACGTTTCTTTGACCAAATGGATTAATAAATTACTATTAAGCAAATTAAGTATTATTGCATGCAACGTGCACCAAATTATTTGTTTGCTTAACCAAACCTATAAGGGGATAGTGATTATACCTAGAATATGCTTGGATATTCTAGGATATTCTACCATCTAACAGTTGTTATTCATTTAGACTAATCTTGTATCTCTAATTTATAAATATGTTTTTAGATTATAAATTTTTCTAAACACTTTCTAGTATATTCTAGTTTATTCTACTATGATTAATCTTGTGTTTATAAATTATCAACATGTTTATAATTATGAACTTTAATTGATCAATTGGATTAATTTATAGAAATAACACTACTATTAAACAAACTAAGCATTGAATGTAGCAATGTGTAGCAAATTATTTTTACTTATGATAATATTTATTCAAACAGAATCAAAATATAAAACAATTTATGTTATGACTCATGTCCAGAGAGGTATATGTCCATGAGAGAGGTCCCCTTGGTCCACAAAAGCCAGAGCTCAAGCATGCACGGCTTTGCCTTTAGAACTCAAAAACTCCAAGCTTAACAATGTATTGGTCAACAATCTGATCCTGTGCAGTAAGAATTGTGATGTGATTTGGAGAACCATTCTTGTCCATCCTAAAGAATTGCTCCAGAGCTTGCTTGCCTTTGCCATAACCAAGACTGAGGCCCTTTTTTTTTGGTGGCACCAACATAAACTATCTGTCTCAGTAACAAATCTATCTTTACTGACTTCAAATACACCATTTGGATATTGAAGTCTATACCAGCAACCCAATTCACTAGATTTAAAAGTAACAATATGATTCCTGAAGTCAATTATTGCTGAGTGCTTCTTAAGCCAATTCATCCCCAAAAATATGGTATCTATATTCTCTTTTATACCAATAAAATCTGTACTTTCTGAAAAGCTTCCCATTTTATACGTTAAATTCTCAATTCCATAACCATCTTTCATTTGCACATCTGCAGTTAATCTTTTTGTAAAATACTTGTAATCACGAATTGCTTTGAGCCCAAGTTTCTTGAGAAGTTGAAGTGTTATAGCTGACCAATCAGAACCATTATCAAATGCAATTGTGATGTGATGATCATTGATTCTCCCACTGTATTCTGCATAATGAAAAGTAGTACATATATGTTGATTTATTTTCTTGTATTTTCTGCACTTATATAATTGGTAGTGATCATCAAGGGTACCATCAATCTCCTTGAGGCAATATATAGAATTATTGACCTCAAAAGTTAAACTGTTTATAGTGCCACTGCAGTCTAACTCTAAGCAATGTTGATGTATCCAAGGTGAACCCAAAATTATATCATGATCAAGAATCAATGGTTTTACAGTCAAACTTGTTCTAAATTCACAATCCTCCACCATAAACTTGAAATCTTTAACTTGTGAATTACTGTCCACAGTAATATTGAATTCATCTACTAATTTCTGTGAGATAATATCGCTGTCACAACCAGAATCCCAAAAAACATTGATTTTCCTCTCCAACCCATGATCCCCATATAGCCTTCCAAAAGTTTCTGCCATCAAACCCTAAATTCCCAAAATCCTAGAGTGTGGGAATTTATAAGCCGTCAACTCTTTCCCTTTTATTTGTTACGTGTTCAACCCTTTGAGCTCGAGAACATCCTCTTGTTAGCAACCAAGTGAACATCGATGTCCTTGTTGCGCCAAAAAGTAACCTCATCACCGAGACCGAGTGTTTCCAGTGTCCGCAAACCTGGAGATCACAGGATCATTTCTTTTGCTGTCAATGTTTTTACCTCGTTCTTCCATTTTCCTAACTTCCACTGGCTACGTTGATCCAAAGCACACCATCATCCACGTTCAAGCGCTCTCCTTCCTGTCGTGTAAGATGCAAATTCATGGATTAAACAAAGTTTCTACAAGACAAGTCACGCAAATTATCCAGACAACATGGCATTTTAAACCTTTTGGACAGCCAGAATAAGGGAAGCTCATTCGACACACGAAAAGTATGCAAGCCAAGCAAAACAGAAGAAAAACGAGAGGAAACACGAGCTTTTGTGGCTCTACCAACATGAGTGACAAATCCATGGTAAGCTTGCGGAGCTGCTTGTTTAACAAGGCCACTGCTGGTTGGAAGGCATGCTGAGCGAGAAAATGATGAACATTGGGGGCCAATGGGACCAGAAACTTCCATGCTTTGCTGTAGGATTACGCAACGATTACATACCTTTAAACCGCTTCCCCTCTCCTTGCTTTATCCTTGTTCTTCGCTGTTCTTGCTTGTGTTCTGCTCGTTTCTCTTGAGTCCCCATGCCTTCCTGTTAAAAAAAGCATTAAATCATTCCCACAACTGTTTCCCACGATGTTGTAAATCCGACTGACCTCGGGCATAGATGTTGGACGTGAGAGAGTACGCAGAGCCTGTTCCGTCGTCGAGCTTGAGAACCGACTTGAAGGCCATCCAGCCAAGCTCCACATCTCTCCACTTGAGGCACGAACTTAAGAATACACCAACGCGTCCGCCTTGCAAGGCCACGCTCTTTGAGCGCCTCGTTTTGAGCGAGAGAACTTCCCACCGATGCCTCTGTATCCAGCCATCGACCATCTAAAGCCTGCCCGGAATCCTCTCTATCAAGCTCTTGGTTTTTTCTGCGTTTTCTTCTGTGGCATAAGATACAAATGGGACCAACCTTTGTTTCCATCAAGGACAGATTATTAGTAAGAAATGATAAAGCGAGCTCATATTTTTCATACCTCGAGCCTGACCAGTTTGCCGCTGCTAAAAAACCTGCAACGTTTCAAGTTCCTTCTCCAGCCATTGGAATGCAGCAAGATCGCTTGACTTATCCCTCGACAAGCACCAGCTCTACGTCAATATCTCTGCAAGAAAATATATAAAAATCACCTGGATGCTAGAAACGAATAGCCAGATACCTCTCTTTAGACACGATGCAGCATTTCAAGTTCTTTCTCCAGCCACTGCAATGCAGCAAGATCGTTTGACTTATCCCTGCACCACTCAACTGGTAGCTCTACGTTAATATCTCTGCAAGAAAAAGGAAATAAGAAAATCACCTGGATGCTAGAAAAGAATAGCCAGTTACCTGCGTAAGGACAAAACTTCCATGTTTTTCTCAAGCAACACGGAATGCTCTTTGAGAGCATCTTGTCTGTATGGCTTCCCAACCGCTCGAATTGCCGCTGCACTTAATATATTTTCTAGCGAGCCGTGCTTCCTCATAAGTTTCAGAGCTGTTTTCCGTCCAAAACCAGGCACACCGGGACCACCATCAGCAGCATCCCCTAGCAAGCATCCTTGGAAAGAAAAAAACAAGAAGAAATAATCAGCCAAACTTACGAAACTGGATATATACGAAGTCCCAATTCAATCCCAGGCTCGCGTTTGTGTTGTTCAACGTAATCCTTGACAGTGTGAAACGACCACCTCCGTAGATCCGCAAATGGAATCAGCAGCTCAACGTTTTCCGAAACGAGCTGCTTGAAATCTTTATCCGGGGATGCAAGACTGCTTTCAAACTCCTGTCTGTTTTCAAACTCCTGTCTGTAACTTGCCGAGCTAGTGTCGTAACGACGTCGTCCGCTTCAGCATTATCAACTAACCTGTCAGCAAAGAACTTGGAATTTTAGCTCATGGAAAAATGAAAGATCGAGGACATACGTCGAAGAAAGCATTGGAAACGAGAGAAACTCGCCTCTAAACCCCTTGTCCATTTGAAGCTCGGATCTAGAGGCTTGAATTTCCTCCTTCCAGCCTTGTAAGAAGGAAGAATTTTTCTCCTATAGTCATTCCCAAATTCGCCATCGAAAACCTGCGCTATGCTTCAACCAGGCGAAGAAGGAAAGGAAGGAGACGGTGAAGGAAGAGAAGATTGCCAAGAGCAAGATGGAAGAAGGAAGTATCCGGTGGAGTGTCTCCACGACGCATTCGAGCATAGATATCGAGAGCTTCACCACCCTCGCCGCTGCTGGCCATACCCGAGAATCATGCAGTTCCATGTCACCACACTACGATGGCTCATTCCTTCGAAAACTCGACGAGCCTCTGTCAAGCTCCCACATTTTGCGTAAAGATCAATCAAGGTGCTCGCGACGAAGAGATCCGAGTCTAAGCCAAGTTTTACTGCTTTCCTGTGAATCTCCCTGCTCCTCTCTAAGAATACCACCCGTTGACCATCCAAAGCCTGCCCGGAATCCTTCTCTATCAAGCTGGAACAAGCCTTGAGAGCACCAGGAACTGATACTCGATCCGGTTTGTACCCTTCGTCTCCCAGACGAGCAAACAACTGTAGAGCCATTTCACCATTTCCACTCTGTGCATATCATATCCCTGTACGATCGAATTCCAGGAGACAACATCGCGATGTGGCATGCTGTCAAATGTTCCACGAGCATCTATCATGCTTCCGCATTTCGCGTACAGATCAAGCAGGATGTTGGCGACGATAATGTTTGAGAAGTCACCTGTCTCGGAAACATCCCTGTTAATTCTCCTGCCTAGTTGTAGATCTCTCATGCTTCTACATACCTTGAGAGCACCAACAACAATGCCAATGGCTGGTTTCAATCCCTGACGTTGCATTCGTCTGTACACTCCATTTGAAAGACCCTGAGGTTTCTGCAGAAGTGGACCAACCTTCGCTTCCATCAAGGACAGACTATGGATTCTACGAAGGCCGTAGTAAGAAACGATAAAGCGAGCTCAAAATTTTCATACCTTGAGCCTGATCAGTTCACCGCTGCTAAACAACCTGCAACGTTTCAAGTTCCTTCAATGCAGCAAGATCGCTTGACTTATCCCTCGACAAGCACCAGCTCTACGTCAATATCTCTGCAAGAAAATATATTAAAATCACCTGGATGCTAGAAACGAATAGCCAGATACCTCTGTTTAGACACAATGCAGCATTTCAATTTCTTTCTCCAGCCACTGCAATGCAGCAAGATCGTTTGACTTATCCCTGGACAAGCACCACTCAACTGGTAGCTCTACGTTAATATCTCTGCAAGAAAAAGGAAATAAGAAAATCACCTGGATGCTAGAAAAGAATAGCCAGTTACCTGCGTAAGGACAAAACTTCCAAGTTTTTCTCAAGCAACACGGAATGCTCCTTGAGAGCATCTTGCATGTATGGCTTCACAACCGTCCGAATTGCCGCTGCACTTACTAGATTTTCTAGCGAGCCGTGCTTCCTCATAAGTTTCAGAGCTGTAAAACCAGGCACACCGGGAACACCATCAGCAGCATACCCTAGCACAAGCGCTCACACACTCGCGACTCCAAGCTCAAGCACAAACGAGAATGACTTACAGTGAAAACGAGATGCCATCCGACTTGCTCCCGCAGTAGCAAAGCGGCCATCCGATGGAGCTCGCCGTGGCGCCACCAGGAACTGGGGATTCCGAGCTCGCCCTGGCGCCATTCTGAGCGGGAGCGCGCTGTGCGATCCAAGACGCGGCCGCCATGGACAATTGTACCCTAAATATTTTTAAAAATTTCTGTCGGCGTTGGCTTGGAAATCGCTCGATCGAGAGAGAACTCTCGCGGCTAAGCGCCCGGACCAGGCAGTGGGAGAATGGAGGATGAAAGTCAACCGCCTTGGATCAAATTCACAAAATGACAACAGATTGCCGCTCGATACATGGCCTCTCGCCCTTTCTTTCGACGATCTCACAGCACCACGAGCTCGGCCTCATCCTGCTCCTGCTCCTCTCGCTGCATCACGATTCTCGCGCATCTTCTTCTCTGAAACAGCAAGATTTCAGCTCGCGAGCCAGAGATCGAGAGAGAAAGAGAGAATCTTTGCCAAGATTTCGAGTGTGAGGGAGAGATTGAGAGTGAGGGAGAGATATTTCGGGAGAGATTGCACGAGATTTCACCTTGCGCAGCTTGAGCCTTGGCCCTTTCCTTGTCCTGGCGCTGCCGTTGGGATTCACTGATCCCGCGACGTTCCTTCCTCGGCATTCTCCTCTTCCCCTTCTTCTCGTTGTCGGCTGCCCTCGTCGAGCTTTTGCCCGCCATCGCACCTCCTCCACACAAAAAACCCTCGCAACGAAGCAATGAAGAAGAAACGAATATTCATGTTTTTAAATTTATTCCCGCCCTCGCATACAAGATCCTAGCCGACCACGTGGCAAGGCGAGCGATTCAAATGAATTACCATGCCAGCCGAGCATTACCATGGCGTTCTTTGTTTTTAATTTGACGGCGTAAGCTCTGGTGACTGCCCCGCATACACGATCGTAGCCGACCACGTGGCGAGGCCATGGTGGCCGTGGCAGCAGACCATTTCCAGGTTTAACGACTAACTGCTATAACATTGTCACGCGAACAGAGTGGCGGCAGCTCCGGCGGCGCAATGCTCTCGGGGTAGCGCGAGCATGATCCAGCCATGGAAGCTCTCAATGGCGTCAAGAAGAGGCATTTCAGGGTAGAGGGTTTCCAGTGGCCCTTCTCGCGCGTGGCTATGGAGTGGAGGCCTGGCGCCGGCACCGCCAAGCGCAAGAAGATCTCCAGCGACATCAATGTCGCCACTCCTCCTCCTCCTCCTTTACTTCCTCACCCTTCCTCACTCCTCTCCCTCCGGCAGCTCAATCACTCACCACCACCGCACGATCCAAACTTTCTCCGCGCGCTCCAGGCCAATGCTCTTCGGACAATGTCGGTGAATGGGAAGGGCTTCCTATCGAATCCTTGGTCGAACAGGGCAGCTTGGTCCAGGGTCCAGAGCACGCTCGGGTCGAAGAAGGATCACGGTGGGGATTTGATGAACAAGAAGAGGCAGCTGGAGCTGTGGGACTTGGCGGGGTTCTCTCGTGAGAAGTTAAAGCTTCTCAATGAGATTGAGGTGCTCATCGACTCGGAGGAGAATGCTTTGAACATGGAAGCTTCTGCTAAGGTTGGTCGATGGCTCCTTCTTTCTTGAGTTTAGACCATCGTTTTATTTCTTCTTTCTTCTTTATAGGCCGCGGAAGGACGTCTTCGAAGCTTGCTGGATATCTGCGTATGCTCTCAATGCCAGGAGAATATAGAGAACAGGATAGCTCTACAAAGCGTGAGAACCAAAGGTTTGGACGATGGCAAGGTTATTTCAGCAAGAACGAATGTAGCGACTGCAAAGCAAGAGGATCAGACAGCACCAGCGCTGGAAGGTCCCAAAACCACGAAGGTGACACTTAGATATAGTTTTCTAGGTCGGAAGTATTGATTTGGTTGCGTGTTCTCAGCTTCCAGAATCTCTCGAAAAGGAAAGAGAGAAGGAGAGGCGCTTCTTTCTTGGAAATGTGAAAGAAGCCATGGAGCGTGACCGGGTTGCGCTTGACAACTTTCTGCAGAAGCAGAGGCTCAAGCATGAAGTGTCTAAGCAGAAACTTGGCGAGGTGAAGGGGAGCTTTCTTGGGAAGTATCTGAGCTTTCTTGACAACTCACTGGACGATGCTCTCCAAAAGGACGATTTAAGCGACAAGCACGACCAGGTTTTCAAGTCTTTTACGTGTTGCTTTATTTGATCTCGAGGTCTCACTTTAGATTTCCTGTGTTAGGATTCAGAAGGTTTGGAGGATCCTTCCAAACTTCGCAAGGATCAAACTCCTGAGCTGGAACGATCTTCTGAAAAGTCCGATGATCGTACCGAAGAATCTATTACAACTAGAGAAGCTGGAAGAAAACCTGCAGACGTTTCGCTTAGCACAGACGCGAAAAAGCTTCACGAGACAATTCACAAGCTGCTGGACAAGAACAAGCAGCTCCAGGAGATGCTCTCCGGGCGACAAAACTCGCACGATCATCAAAGACAGAACGTTAACGGGCTGGAGCACATTACAAAGCTGGAGATTTCTTGCAGCTGCAAGAGTCCGTGGGAGATGAGGCCCCCGAGAATTTTCAACTTCACCAGAAAGACGACGTCGAGAGTGTTGCAAACTTCTGGAGAGCTTGATATTGGGAGTCTTGAGGAAACTGCAGGGACAAGAACAGGCTACGAGGGGTTTCCTCAAGGCTACTCGTACCTCTACGTCTCTCCAGCTTTCGAGACAGAAAATGTCGACCCGAACACGCAAACTCGTAACGAAGATCGCTCTGCTAGTAAACACGTTGTGACGAATCCCGTGAAGCTTCACAAGCTAAAGCAAGAACAGGAGGTGACGCACAGCCAGGAACAGAACTTTTGTCCAAAGGTACCTGAGTTCTTTGATGAAACTTAGCCGGTCTTTCAATCTTTTGTTATTTTACTCCAGTTCAAGCTCTCGTCACTGCCGGCGTTATGCAGCAGCTTCACACAAACAACATGTGATTCCAGAGGTTTGAAGCAGCTTGATTTACAACAGCCGAAAGTTCGTCCCCAGTTAGAAGAGAGTAAAGCGAAAACTGATGAACATTCACTAGTAGAAAGACAAGACAAAGCTGTCGACGCTGGAGACTCGAGTGATGAAACTGATGTTTCTAGCGCAATGCTTATAGACGTCATCAGGTAATGCTTGCTCAATAGCGTTACTCGTTCTAAACTGTTTGTACTTCAGGAACTGGAGGATGCAAGCTTTAGTACCGAAAGATTTGCTGGAAAACAAAGACTCCTGTACTCAGACTGCTGTAAGCTTGACCGAGGTTGGACAAATCACAGAGGGAAAGCCTGTTGTCGAGAAATTCACACAAGGTGGAGGAAAATCTTTCGTCTTCATTTTTCACCTTAACTGACGAAACTGCTTGTTAATTACTAGGAGATGCTTTGCTAGAACTCTCACTTCTGTGCCAAGAAGAAGAGAATAAACTGAAAGCTTTGGAGGAACTTGATGTCAAGGACTCTCACAACAATCTATCAGAAACCACGGAAAACTTTTCCGGTGACGAGCTCATTGAGGTAATGAATCTATTTTCTTTTCCTCTTCCTTTCATTTACAGAATTACAGGTGACGACTCAACTTTCCGAAAGCGTCGAGGGCGTTGCGAGAGATCGGTCAACCGAACAACTGGAGGCTGCGTTCAAGAGAAAAGTAAGTTTCTTTTGAAGATCCTGAAGTAGAAAGGAAGCCTAGCTAATGCGGTCACTTTAGTCCAGGAAGAGGAGCTTGAGAACATAGTTCGCATGATGAGCTCCAAACTGGTGGAAAGCCAAGATAGAGTTGATGCGCTAGAGAAATCTCTCGCAGAGAAGAACTTCAAGGTGGAAGAGATGCTCGAGGTCTTGAAGACTTTTCAAGCCGAGGAATCCCAGGACAGCTGCAAAAGGATTGCAGCACTGGAGCAAGCGTTAGCCGAGAAAAGCTTTAGCATGGACCAGATGTCTCGGGCCTTGGCCACTGCGAATTCTTACGCCGAGCAGCTGCGAAAAGATTTCGAAGAAGCATTCGATGATACACTGAGGAAAGAACTTGCGACTAGCCAAGACACTATCTCAAACTTAGTGGAAGAAGCGGCCGAAAAGGACGTAAAACTCGAAGAGATGAAGCTGGAAATGGAGGCCATTCAGAACCTAAAGTCCGCTTCCGATGTGAGTCGCACTGGATTGGAAGCGAAGGTATCAGAAGAAAGACACAACGTAAGTCATCGCAGAACTTTTTCTCTATCTCTCCATCAGAGCTTTTGTTGATCGCTACTTGTTGCATCTTTGCAGGCGAGGGAGGCGTACGCGAGCTTGGAGTCTGTGAAAAGTGAGCTTTCGAATTGCCAAGCCAAGGCACGGACGATGGAAGAAGCTGTTGCACAGAGAAACGCCACCGTGCAAAGGCTGGCGCTTCAACTCAAGGAGATGGAGAATTCTCAGTCCGTGTTTGAGAAATCCCAGGCCATGCTAACCAGGCAGCTGGAGGGTGCTAGAAACAGTGTAAGTCCAACTTCTGGATCACCTTGCAAAAAAACTCTTTGTTCTCTTGCAGGTGAAAGAGATGGTACAAATTCTAGGAACCGAGCGGCTTAGCAACACCGAAAAATACGTGTCTCTTGAGGAAGCCTTGAATGCCAAAAGCACGAAGATCAAAGAGCTGGAGCTCAAGGCACAGGAAATGCAGAAGCTCAAGTCTGCGATGGAGCTGGAGATGAAGAATGCAACAGAGAATGTTAGCTTGCTCTCTGATCGAAGCCAAAGTTGTAAGTGATTCTCAGTTCATGTTCTAACTGTTTTTTATTTTGTCTCCGCAGGCGAAGAGCTTGCATGCCACACTGAGCACCGTCAAGCGTGATCTCTCCAGAGCGGATCACAAAACAGTGGCGATGGAGCAGTCTCTCGCGGCAAAGGACGCAAAGCTACAACAGTTGCAAGACCAGGTGGTGGCTCTCGAGTTTGAGAACTTCCAGCTGCGAGGCCAGTCGAGAGCGGCCGAGAAGCAGTCCAGCGATCACAAGCGCCAGTTCGAAGACCTGGTTGCCATCAACGAGGAGCTTCTCAGCTTTTCTCAAGGAAAAGAGAACGAGGTATGGCGCTAGTGCGCTTGTTTCACTCGCTAGAAAGCTGGCGCTTTGTTTCTCGTTCCAGCTGCTTGCATGCCGGAAGAAAATGGCCGGGCTCCAGCAGAAACTCTCGCAAAAATCGGTGGAGTGTTCGTCGCTGATGAAGGAGATCGAGGCCTTGCAGCTCGACTCTGGCCAGACGCAAGCAGTGCTCATGCGCGAGCGCTTCCGGGCGATGAAGCAGAGCCTCGCGGACAGCGAGTACGAGGTGAGGCAGCGCGACGAGGCCATCGAGAGGCTGTCCAAGAGCCTGGCATCGGCGGTGGAGACCGAGGACGCGCTACTCCAAGAGGCCGAGCAGCTCAGCTTGCTGCTCAAGACGAGCCAGTTCAAGGAGCACGAGCTCACCGATCGATCCGGGCAGCTCCGCGCGGAGAAGCAGAGCTTGGAGGAAAGCGTTCGCGGGCTGGAGCGAAAGCTGGTGCTCGTGAGAGTGGAGGTGGCGGAGCTCAACGCGCAAAACTCCGCGCTCACGAAGGCGAGCGAGGACAAGGCGAAGGAGATCGCGCAGCTGCGAAGAGAGGTGGAGCAAGCGCGAGGGAAGTGTCAGATCCTGGAGGAGGATTTGCTCGAGAAAGAGGGGCAAATCGCCATCCTCAAGGAGTCCTTCGCGGACGATACCACGGCGTGGTTAAAGTCTTGTACATAGCGAGAGGAAGAAGATGGGTTAAGCTAAATAAGGGAAAATTGACTTAATCTTAAGCTAAACGAGGCAAATTTGCGTTAGTCTAAACCACGGTAAGCTAATTTGTGTTAAACCAAACGAGGGAAGTTTAATTTAATGCGGTCCAGGGTTTGCATTTCAAGTGTATGTAGCTATGGCGGAAATTTATTTCTAGGGTTTGTGTGTTCTTGGAGCGCCAAGCGATGCCGCCGGGCTCCGGCGCGGCGCGATCCCGGTAGGCGCTAGGGCTTCTCTGCAGGTGAGTGGCGGCGCGGCGATGGAATGCAACAGGGACGAGGCGTCTCGGGCGCTGGCGATCGCGGTGGAGAAGCTCGGCGCGCAGGACTGGGCCAGTGCGAAGAGGTTTGCGGCCAAGGCGGACCAGTTGTTCCCCAATCTGGAGGGACTGGCGCAGGTTGTGGCTGTGGCCAACGTCCAGAGCCGGGCGCATGGGAAAGCGGAGGGCGAGACGAACTGGTACGAGATTCTGGAAGTGGAAGCCAGCGCCGATGGGGTGGCCATCAAGAAGCAGTACAGGAAAATGGCGCTGGTTCTTCACCCGGACAAGAATAAGTTCCCTGGGGCCGAAGCTTCGTTCAAGCTCATCCAGGAGGCGTGGTCCGTGCTCTCCGACAGGACCAAGCGAGAAAAGTTCGATCTTTTGAAGAACATGACCAACAGTTCATGGCGTGGCAGCAACTTCGCGACGCAGCAGCAGCAAAGCAGCAACTTTCCGGCGTATCAGCAAAACTTTGCGGCCCAGGGCGTGTTTTGGACGAGGTGCCCTTTTTGCCAGATCCAGTTCCAGTATGGGATTCAGTACCTCAACCACAACCTCGTGTGCACGAGGTGTTCGAAAGATTTCGTGGCGGTGAGTGTAGAGAATGTCTTCCCGGGAAGGGCGCAGAGGCCGACTAGGCGGGGTGGTATGTTCTTCCCACGCAGGAACGCTGCGGCTTTTGCAGCGGCGGCGGCGCAAGCGGCTGCCAACGCTGGTGTTGATACGTCGGATGTCGTTCAGCGATGCTTCAACCAGGCGAAGAAGGAAAGGAAGGAGAAGGTGAAGGAAGAGAAGATTGCCAAGAGCAAGATGGAAGAAGGAAGTGCAGGCAGAGGCAGACGGAGGAAAGGCATTCAGACGAGGACCAGGAAGCTCGACGAGTTTTTGAACCGTTATCCGGCAAGCAACGATGATCCGAAAGAGTTCGCTAGGAAAGTGGCCGAAGACCACCCAGTGAATCATGAACAGCCGAAAGAAGAACCCGAGCCTGTGCCAGAAGAAGCATTCCCCTCGGCCACCGGTCCTAGCGGCGGCAATGCGGAGGAAGAAACGAAGCAAGCTCCTTCGGAATCAAAGGAAACAGAGAGTCCGAAAGTACAGGATGAGACGCAGTTCCAAGTGAATGCAGAAGATCAGGAGGGGAAGGACGACGATGGCCACCAGCAAGAAGACGGCAGGGAAGAAAACCATCAGAATGAGCAGTCTCATGGCAAGCTCGAGGTTCCAGACAGCGATGAGGAGCTTCTGGTGAACTTCAGGAGACCGCAAAGGAGAAGCCTGGAAGTTCCAGACAGCGAAGAAGAAGACTGGAAGCCAGAGAAACCCGCGAGTTCACAGCGGGTGCCAGAGAATGAGAAGCCAGCTAGCGAGAAACCGGCTGCCGAGGAGCAGGCTCCGGCCACCAGACGCTCGTCCCGCAAGCGAAACATCCTCTGCTACAGGTTCGACGATCACGGGGAAGACGATCCGGAAAAGGAGTTCCCGAGCGGGAAGAAAGGCCGGTTCTCCTCTCCCGAGGACTTCCCGGGAGGAGACGATCGTCCTCCGCCCATGGAGCAGGCATTCGGGACTTACGACTTCGACGCCGACCGGACGCTGCTTAAGGTGAAGAAGGGCCAGGTGTGGTCGGTTTACAACGTCGACGACTCGCTTCCGAGCTGGTACGCCAAGGTGACGAACGTGAAAAGCGAGCAGCACATATCAGCGAAGTGGCTGGAGCAGATCAAGGGGAAGTCGCGGGACGTCGATGCGTGGCAGGAGGTGGGACACTACGCGCCGTGCGGCGACTTCCAGCTCCACAAAGATACGCAGAAGCTGAGCCTGACGATGCTGTGCCAGGAAGCCCGAGCGGAGCCGCTGGAAAAGAGCAAGAACAGGTGGAAGATCTATCCTCGGGCGGGAGAGGTTTGGAGTTTGATCCGGGGGTGGGACAGGAGCTTGCTGAGCGGCAAGAACGACGCCAGGACTTTCGTGTACGACTTCGGCGAGGTGTTGAGCGACTACACGCCCGAGAAGGGCGTCAAGGTGGCGCCGCTGGTGAGACGCGAGGGAGGAGGTTTCGTGAGAGAGGCCACGGGGAAGTGGCGGCACGTCGGCGAGGCGGAGCTCATGAGCTTCGCGTACAGGGTCCCGGCGGTGAAGATGGCGGAGCCGCCCGGAGCGTGGCAGCTCGACTCGGAGACTTTCGCGCGAGATACAGAGGAGGAAGAATAAGATGAGAATTGGGCTGCTTCTTCGTCCTGGCCTCTGCTAGAACAGGCTTTAATTTATTTAAATTTTAGGGTTAACTTTAAACAGAATATTCGTTTCCGGTGAAAACGAATATTCCTTTTGGATTGTGGTTGGGTTTAACAAGAATATTCTACTGGCTTACCTGGAATATTCTACTGACGTTTACATGCCGAAAAAGCCCTAAACCCTGGGCTATGGCGCCATCGCAGCAATGGGTGGAGAAGTAGTGAGTGGATTCCATGGAGGAGTTCCTTGTGTTTGATTCCAGCGCTTCTTCTTTTTGCTCGATCCAGCCGCCCCAAGCAGGTCAAGGATGTGGCTCACCAGGACGAGGTCGTGCGCACGCTCGCGAATGCTCTTGAGACGGGGAATGTGAGTGCTTTCTTTTCTTTTCTTGCTTGAGGCCAGCGATTTCTGTGAGCGCGCAGCTGCCGCATTTGCTCTTCTATGGGCCGCCTGGGACTGGGAAGACGTCGACTGCGCTGGCGGTAACAAGGGAGCTCTTTGGGTGAGCTTTTCCTTTTATTCTTGTTCTTGAAGAAGCGAGTGGTTTTTAAATCTTCTCTGTGTGATTTCTTTTCGTTTTTTTTTCTCGTAGGCCGCAGCTTTACAAGACCAGAGTTCTCGAGTTGAATGCCAGTGATGATCGAGGAATAAATGTGGTGCGAACGAAGATCAAGGACTTTGCTGCTGTTGCAGTGGGTCGTGGAGTGAGGTACTTCGCTTTTTTCTGGACGAACGAGTTTATACCTTTGCTTATGCGACCTCGTCGTTGCTTTTACAGTGACTATCCTTGTCCGCCTTTCAAAGTTATCATCCTAGACGAAGCGGATTCAATGACTGAGGATGCACAGGTTTGAGCTATCTGCATTTTTTTTTTTCTCGCTCCCTTCTGATCAATCAGTTCGGGTTCTAGAACGCGTTGAGGCGTACAATGGAAACTTACTCGAAGGTTACGAGATTTTGCTTCATTTGCAACTACATAAGCAGGCTAGTAATTCTTTTCTGTCGAGTGTAAAACTATCATTCTGTGCTTTAGGATTATCGAGCCACTGGCATCAAGATGTGCGAAGTTTCGTTTCAAGTCTTTGAACCAAGACGTGATGCACGGGAGGATTTTGCATATATGCTCAGAGGAGGGGGTGCAAATGGGCTCCGAGGTTACGATTTCTTCTGCTTCCTTTCCTATTGTTCTTATGTTTTACTTTTTTTATATATATATCAGGCACTGGCTACATTGAGTCGAGTGTCCGAGGGAGATCTTCGTCGAGCAATCACATATCTACAGGTTTTAGAGTTCTGTGCTTCTGCGTAATCGGGAACTGTTTGTTTTGTGTAGAGCGCTACGAGGCTTTATGGATCATCGATCACAAGCAAGGATATCCTCAGCGTTTCCGGGGTAAGCCTTTGATCCCTTTGTCGTCAATTTCTAGCGATATCTCGTTGCAGGTTATTCCAGATAACGTGATCCAGTCCCTCTTGCAAGCCTGTACGAGTGGAGTGTTTGATCAAGCTCAAAAGGAGGTGACCAACATCATAGCCGAAGGCTATCCTGTCTCACAAATATTTTCTCAGGTAACTTGGAAGCATTAAGTGCTTTTGCAAAGATAAGATTTCTTCTCAGGTTTACGATCACGTTGTCGAATCGCCTGAGATATCGGACGAGCAGAAAGCTAAAATCTGCCAGAGACTAGCCGAAGCTGACAAGGTGCTAGTAGCAAGAAGAACGAGCTCTTTAACGATTTTTTTTTCATTCTTCCAGTGTCTTCTCGATGGAGCAGACGAGTCTTTGCAACTCATGGACGTGTGCAGCAATACTATGCGAGCACTCTGTAACATGACCCAAGAGTGTAGCTATGTCTAACTTGATTTCTCCACTTAACATGAATTCTCCCTCGCTGCTGTTTCCAGAGTGAGATTTGTCTATATCACACCTTGGAGCTACTTATCTGAGACCTTGAGCAAACCTGGAGGACACGGGAACACCACGCTTCCATGGGAGCTGCTCCACAGCAGGCGCTGCTGGGCTCTTCTTTCCTTCCGGAGCCACACTGGCTTTGGGATCCACCAGTGTCTTCTGGAAAGTTTGCGAGAAACCAGTGGCGATTATCGTGACGTGAACTTGGCCGTCGTATCTCTCGTCGACCACAGCACCAAATATGATATTTGCTGCGGGGTCTGCCAAGCCGGTCACCACCTAAAAGGAGAGAAACCATGAGAACATCAAGTTTTTATGATCGGCTATGGCTATACAGACCTGAGAGACTCGGTTAACCTCTTGAAGCGTCAAGTCCCTTCCACCCGTGATGTTGTAAACAACACCCGTGGCTCTTTCGATCGATCTCTCGATCAATGGAGCTGATGTGGCCTGCTGAGCCGCTTCTTCTGCCCGGTTTTTGCCGCTAGCAGTCCCGACTCCAAGCATGGCGGTCCCTGAGTTTGTCATGATCGCTTTCACGTCTGCGAAATCTACGTTCACCAGTCCTGGAATCTGGAGATGACATTTTTCAGAACAATCTCTACCGAAGGACAATAAACTTACAGTGATAATGTCCGAGATGCCCTGCACACCCTGCCTAAGAACATCGTCCGCGAGAAGAAAAGCTTCCTGCAAAGGAGTGTGTTCTTGAACCAAGTCAAGCAGCCTGTCGTTGGGGATCACAATGAGTGTGTCTACGTTGCTTCGCAGCCTCTCAATGGCGTCCAAAGCCTAGAAAGCTGTCGCATTAGCATCACACGAAAACAAAAAGGTGAGGAAAGAAACTCGCGCACCTGTTGAGATCGTCGTCTCCCTTCGAAAGTAAAAGGATACGTGACAACACCCACAGTCAGTTGTCCCTTCTCTTTGGATAGACGAGCGACGACTGGTGCTGCTCCGGAGCCTGTTCCTCCACCCATCCCGGCTGTGATGAAAACCAAGTCGGAATCAGCGACAGCCACCTTGAGATCATCCTTGGATTCTTCGGCAGCTTCTTCACCAAGGCTCGGTTTTCCACCGGTTCCTGCAAAAGAAAAACAAAATCACCAGAGAAAAAAAAAGGAAAAAGAAAAGACATGCTAGCTTTTGAGTGTCAAGAATCTCTTACCCAATCCCCGAGTGAGCTCCTCTCCAATTTGCAAGCGATTGCTCGCAGAGGACTGCACCAGCGCCTGGGCATCTGTGTTTATGGCCCAAAAGTCTACTCCCTGCGACAAACTTACTTAAGACATGATCGGACGAACCAAAAAACCAAAGAACTTACTTGCAATCCACTTCCAATCATTCGATTTACAGCATTATTCCCACCTCCTCCGATGCCAACCACTTTAATCCTTGCGGAGTCCATGCCAATCGCTTCCAGCACCGCCACACAGCATACCCGCGCCCTTCTCACCCTTCTCGAAATTGAAAACCCCCCATTTCTTCCCTCTCCCTGTCCCTGAAACCCATCGCCCGCATAAATCGAGCAAGCTGAATCCGCCAGGAACGGTCTCGTTATGGGAAAGCATCGCTGCGCCGCCAGCATTCTCCCGCTCTTGCGACCCTAGCTAGTCTTCCATAAACCCTAACCCCTCAATAATCTCCCGCCAATTTTTCTTTCAAACCGTCAATGCAATAATATAGTGCTAGTCCTGCCATGGGCATTCGGGATTTCTGACAATCATGGCTTGCAAAAACTTTGTAACATCATAATTCCATTTGCGTTATGTAGTTAACAAGATAGGAAATGGTGGCTTTGTTTGCAAGGATGACATGTAATTGATCTCTCCGAGGTGTAGAGCGTTGTGTGACCGTCTCTACCTGATCTTCAGCGCAGATTCGTAGATGTCATGGATGTTTTTCTCGTCGTTTGAGCTCAACCAAGAGACTGTGGCTTCCAGTGGCCATGGTGTAAATGTTCCACCTTGGGAGGTGGTTCGAATATCTCTGCTGGATTTACTTCTTTGCAGTAGAGATCAGGGCAGAAATTTCATAAAATATTTGGACTGGCATTTTGAAAAATAGCTAACTTGTTGAAATGAAAGTTTAGCAGTCCAGGTCGAAAGAAAGTTAAAATATTAGTCAGGTATTTCTGAAACTTTAATATAGGATAGACTATCCATTTATACCATCTTACTCTTCCATAAGACTACTTTTAAGTAGTGACTAAAAGGTAAGCTGTTATTTTAGTTGCAAGCTTTTAGTTATATATTTTCTAATTAAAAAAGAGTTTTTTTTTCTTATTAAAAGTCACAAATTTTTCTTCTCAAATTTATAATCAGATATGTGAATATTTTAGTGATTATTATTTTTTGGTGGGGTGGTAGCGGATATACCTAGAATATTTTTGGATATTTTATGATATTCTACTGTCTAACAGTTGTTATTCATTTAGATTAATCAAGTATTTATAATTTATAAACATATTTATAATTTATAAAATTTCCTAAACACTTTCTAGTATATTCTAATATATTCTACCATCTAATGGTTGATATTCAATAAGATTAATCTTGTCTTTATAAATATAAACATGTTAATTTTTATAAACTTCAATTGGATTAATAGATAGGAATAAGAAAATTATTCTAATGAATGCTCCAATTGTGCACCACACTTGCACTACCAGAATGACAACTGACCCTCTAAAGCAAAGGGTAAAATTAAATTTTCTATAAGGGTGGTGAAATAAAACTTTAGGGTTCTTGGAAGGTTTAAATTTTAGGCTAAAATATATTTGAATTATACATGATGCAAACTTTTCAAATGCTCGTTTTTGTTTTGTTTTTTCGTCGGGTAGATCCCAACACGGATGTTGCAATGTATGAATCGGATGAAATCATCAAGTACCTTGTACCACATAAACTTGTTAGTTTATCCTCGATTTTTTTTCCAGGGAATGCCTTTTATGCTGTCAGGGTTTCTTCACGGTAATGTATTGTGTATATATTTTTTCCACCGGCTTTTCATTTGCTATCAAATTATAACAGACTCGGGCGTGCAGGCAAGGTAAACTTTCACGTCTTTCACTTTGACGATACAAACCATGTTTTTGTTTTCAAACCAGACAAGCCTCTAAAGATCTGGGCGAATTGAAAACTCAAAAAAGAAAGAGAGAGCTATATCTTAAAGCTGGATTTTGTGAGCAGCTTTCGCCTTTCTGTAAGATCGTACGAGAAAGGCTGGTTGAATTGGAGCTCCCTCACGTTTACTACAAGTAAGTCTCTAGTTTGTCTCTCGAGCTCTTTTTTAAGTCTCTACTTCACACTGTCCAGTGCCGCTCGTGGAAGTCCCAAACGAAATTATCTCTTGGAACGGACTGGAATTTTTCAGGTACTTATAAATTCGATACAATGGTGTTGGAATCACTCTTTTGTTTCCCAGGTTCCTTTCTTAGAAGACCCCAACACCGGCGTGGAGATGTTTGAAAGCTCGGAGATTATCAAGTATCTTAACACAACGTATGCCTTGTAAAGAAAAGAGATTCTCATTTTATAAATAAATTCAAGCAGCAGTTTTGGAAGTAGATTACTAAGTTTGGACACACGAAATTTAGTTGTAGTACAGTCGGAGTTCTGGTTGAGTTTGACACTCGACGTCCCAAACCATGCCTAAACCCTGAGGTTTTTCCCTGAATTTCTGTGTCTCTGGCAACACTCCCTTGTAAGGATTCATCTGGAAAAGATAGATAGAAGCAGCAAAGTATTAGAAGTAAGAAAGAACTTCTACTAAAACTTACATATCGCCGGGAACTCTGCTTTCACGTAATCGTGACCAACAAACTTCTGGTTCCAGAGCAAATCGTGAGAATAATATTTCCTGAAAAACGAAAAACAAATCAGAGCATATCTGCGATTTAAAAACTTAAACTCGTACTCTGGTTGCTTGATGACGATATCTGAGCCATCTTCTTCATCGGCTTCAATATGTCCCCAAACAGTACCTCTAAAGTGATGAATCTCTTCTCATTGTTTTCCTGATCAGAAATTTAATTAATATCAATTAATAAGAAAAACGCCATAAAATTCTAATAAGGAGACCAACCTTTCGTATGTCATGCTTGCAAGGATCGACCACATTCTTGAGGCTGTACTTAATTGTATGCTCCAAGGGCTCGAAAGGATTATAATCTGGACGTGGCAAAATCATCTGCTTGTTGGCTATCGAGCAGTATTGATACTGGTACCATCCTGCAAATTGGCAAACGAATGAATGAACTGAAAGTTTAAGATTTCTCACTGAGCTTGTCCTTGATGTAATTCGGAGACATTCCATTCAGCTCGTCCTCGATCTGTCTCTGTATGGGCTCAAAAACTTGCATTCTCCACTTCTCATACAAGATCGCAAGCTTCTTGACATGCTTCTCGTCAACCAGCTCGATCATATCGCCCATTTGCCGCAGTATGTGTCCCTTTTTGTACTCCGCGCCTCTGGAATACGATCGATACATCTTCTCAAACTTGATCTCGGCTTTCCTCCTCTTGCGCTCCTTGATCCTCTCGACCAGCTTTTCCAGGGAAAAACAACGCAAACAATCAGCCAAACAATCTCGCGAGAGCAACTTCAGAAGAGTTTACCTTAGAAACATTCTCACAAGAAAGATTTAGGTTCCAACCTCCTTCGAATCTTATATTTCCTCTGCATGGATGAGCACGTATAAATTCTTATGTAAAATCGTAAGATCGAGACTTACACGTTTCTTCCTGCGAGGGACCAGCTTTGGATCCGGCGGCGGCTTTGGAGCATGAACAACACTCCTGGGTGCGGGACAGCCTCAGATCCAGCGCAGGGGTTTGAAGAAATCCAGAAATGCATCAGGCTTGGTCATGGTGATCTGGCCTTTGGGATTTGGCTCCTACTCTTCATCCGCTTGCTTGACCAACTTTGGGCGGAAGAACCCGATATACGAGAGTGGCTTGCATCGCGAGATCTCCCCCGGCACAACAAAAGGGTTGTGCGGGAGCCGCTCCTTCTTGTTCTTACGGTATTTCTTCACCTTGGCTTGATCCAGGTGGTCGTCCAGCGGCGAAGCGGGCCGCCTCCTCTCCTTCTTCCGTGGGATCTCCACCTTTCTCCATGGAACTGGGAAGCGCTCCTTCTTGGAGTAGCGTTTCGTTGGCGGAGGAGCTCCCCAATTGTCCCAGGCCATGGCTAGAAATCTCTTTTGCAAGACAATGGAGATGGAAATTGAGAATGAGAGAGAGTGAACCCAAGAAAAAAGGAGGAGAACAATGATGGAAAATTTGCGCGCGCTTGCTGCTTGAGCCGGCCGGCTTTCCCACCACCGTTTTCCACCAGTATGGTTTGCCACGACTATCTTTTTTTTAAACAAGTTTGGAAACGATGATGGAATGTTACAACATAGCTGAAGGTACAAAGGATGATAGATTTGAAAAAAAATTATAACATAGTTGAAGGTACAAAGGATGATAGATATGAAAACAAACAGTAAGATGGCTGATTTTGGAAACAGACTATAGTCTATACTTGAAGTTACAAAGGATGATAGATTTAATCACGGGTAGGTATATGGTAGCGGGGGGTGTTTGCATAGCTCGAACTGCTTCTTGAAGAAGTCTGGCTCGGTTGGCGCGATGAGATCCATGATCTCCATCATATCTGGAGGCTGCCCTAGCAGCTCGGCGTAGATCATCGCCCTCGCGTATTGGCCCTTGGAAGCATAGAAATATGCGTTCGTCCGCCACTCTTTCTTTTGCTTTTGGCTTGGAGACTTTTCCATGTTTAAGTAAACCTTAGAACTTAGTTCGACCTTTATAGTAAAGCAACCAAAAGGCTCGCTAAACAGAGGACGGTCCTTTTGGCTTTAGTTAATGTAGTTTACATAAATAAACTTTTTCAAGTAAAAGGAATCAAAGAAGAACTTCTAGAAAAGTCTTGAACAATTCCGAATCATATTCTTTAAATTTTACATTACGTAGTTATTTTTTAAAGAAATTAACTGGATAATATTGTCATTCATGCTACATATAGTGTAGTAAGAAAACTTTCACAGCACTGTTGCGAGATTTAATCGTGTGTTTGCTAGTATCAAATAGTGGCAATCAAACTCAAAAGAGTGCAGGATCACAATACATTTCCATGGGATCCCAGCATTTACTCTCTATTGAAACACCACATCCATGCCATTGCTAAACGGCCAATGCTCAAGTGCTCTTCCACAAAGTTCTCTTAGCACGAGCTTGCTTTAAAAGCGCTTTTGAAACGTTTCTTTTGTTTTTCCATTCAGCTCTCCAAGAACAGTGGTGCCATCACCAGCGTGATCGTCGATAGCATCTTTATCAAGACGTGGAGAGATGGTCCGGCAGTGTCCTTGAATGGATCCCCAACTCTGTGGACAAGAAAGGATAGTTCTTTGTCAAGGAAAAACAGGGAAGAAAAACTTACGTGTCGCCGGTAACAGCAGCTTTGTGAGCCTCGCTACCTTTGCCGCCCAATGCACCACTCTCGATGAACTTCTTGGCGTTGTCCCAAGCTCCTCCCGCGGTGTTGAGGAAGAGCGCCATCAAAATTCCAGACACGGTAGCGAACATTAGCATTCCTGCCACTGCTTTTGCTCCCAGCAGTGGCTGCTCCGTGTAAACTCCTACTATTCTAAAGACAACACCTGCAAAGAAAAGAGCGAGGCATCGGACTACTTCCAAATCAAACCGGAGAAAACACGTACCAACAATTATCGGGGAGATAACAGCTAGTACACCGGGTTTAATCATCTCCCGTAGTGATGCTTTTGCCACAATTGATACGCATCGGCCGTAATCGGGCTTGTCTTGATAGGTCTGTAAAAGGACAGCAGTCTTTAGTTCAAGGAAAACAATGAAAACAAACTAACCATGATTCCAGGCCGCTCAGCGAATTGCCGTCGAACTTCATTCACAACCTCCTGTGCTGTTTTGCCTACTGCCGCACACGACCATGCACTAAATACAAATATCAACATTGCTCCTAGCAGGCCACCTACAAAAACTTCTGGGATTGCAATGTCAACCTGAAAGCATCCAAGTTGTAGTCAGCCTTAGAAGAACAACTGCTTACCTCAGTAAAGCTAATCTGAGTAAAAGACGATACTTCGTCCATGTAAGCGCTGAACAGAAGAAAAGACGCTAACGCAGCGGAGCCTATAGCAAATCCCTTGGTTGTTGCCTTGGTAGTGTTGCCGACTGCGTCAAGAACATCAGTAATATCTCTCACGCTCTCCGGCTGCAAAACCAAATTCCAGTTCAAAACATAGAACACGAAATTGCACTTACTTGTTGGCTCATCTCAACAATTCCGCCAGCATTATCAGCAATGGGACCAAACATGTCCATGGTCAACACGTACGCAGCTGTACTCAGCATCCCCATTGTAGCAATGGCAGTGCCAAATAAACCTCCGACGGGAGCACCTTTACTGTCCACCAGCCCTGACGTTCTTCCAAGCCAATAAGCAGATACAATCGCAACGCTTATGACCAGAACGGGCATGGCTGTCGACTCCAGTCCAAGGCCAACGCCCGCTATAATATTTGTTCCGTGCCCGGTGCTGCTAGCAAGGGCCACCAGTCGCACAGGCTCGTACTTGTAGTCAGTGTAGTATTGAGAGATCCAGACAAAGAGATACGCCGTGATAATGCCTACGAGTCCGCACAAGGCAAAGTGGAACCATGCCGTAGGCGCTTGCTCAGTATATAAAAGCCACCTTGTAGACTGTTAGGCAAATGCGTCAGTCAAGTCTTCAATGAAAGAAAAGGTCATACATACCGCTCCAAAGGTAATCACAGCTAAAACAACAGCAACGCTATATCCTCTTTGCAAAACCGCCATGGGGTCCTCCATGTATTTGGTTCCCACTTCCCGTGCATTTTTTATCGACAGGATGCCAATCGCCGAGACAACGAGGTCAAAGGAGTGAACCACAAGCGGAAAAAGTATAAACCCAGATGCATCTGCGTCAGCGAACCAAACTTAAAACTTCGATGACAACATCTAACACACAAACCTTCTAGCTTGCATCTTTTGACCATAGTGCCTCCCAGAATCATGGCGCTAATTATCTCCGCAGCAATACTTTCGAATAAATCAGCACCACGAGCAGCACAATCACCAACATTATCTCCAACCTGTAAGACCATTAAGTCCATCAACTAAACGTAAACTACAAAATTTACCAGGTCCGCAATTACTGCAGGATTTCTGGGGTCATCCTCCGGAATGCCTTGCTCAACTTTACCGACAAGATCAGCACCAACGTCAGCTGCCTTCGTGTATATACCACCACCAAGTTGAGCAAAAAGTGCCACAAAAGATGCTCCAAATCCGTACCCGACGAGCAAAAGTGGCACTACACAATGAAAAGCAAACTTTAAAATCATCATGATTCACGAAGGGACTTACATTCTGTAGCTTTCATGCCAGTCGGAGAGTCCACATTCAAGTAGACGTAAAACACAGCATAGAGGACAGCTACGCCCAAAACCGTCATACCAACAACGATGAGCGCTGAAAATCCTCCCGCTCTCACAGCTATCTGCAAGAAAGATTTTAGAATAGACCGAAGAAACAAAAGTTTGATGTTTACCAGCAACGCCTCTCTGGCAGATCTTCTAGCAGCGCTTGATACTCGCACATTAGCTCTAACTGAAACCCACATTCCAACGTAGCCAGCGATGCCAGAACATAGAGCTCCAAGCAAAAACGACAACACGGTAATAAATGCTGATGTTGCTCTGTTGTAACCACTATCAGTTTATCACCAGAACAAAAAAGAAAAAAAGAAATCCTCAGAGAAGAAACAAACACTCACTTGTCAATCCCAGCTGCCTCTTGCTGTGGCGTGGATCTCCTGAACAAATAAATACCAAGGATCCCAAAGGCGAGAACCACGGCCATGTTGGTAATTGCACCATACTGGGTGCGAAAGAAGCCTTCTGCACCGTCCCGAATTGCGTCTGATATCTGCAAACACGAAGCAGCTCAGTTCCTGACCAAAAGAAGAAGAAAAATAGAGAAAATCGTTACCTGGACCATCTCAGGCGGTCCTTCGTCCTTTGCAAGCACCCATGACGAGAGGTAAGTTGCAAAGAAAATGCTCAGCGTGCACACCGCGAAGACGAAGACGATGATCGAGGAGGTCCGAACTCCGACATAGAACATCGCCACCAAACTAAATGCCGTGAGGAGATAGTATACTCGCTTATCCATGTTGTATATGAACCTCACGAACTGGATCACCAAAAAGTCGTGGAAAATATTTTTTGGTGAGCAAACAAAGTGAGCTAGGAACTTACAAAGGGTGCTGTTGACTTGGTTCGCAGCGCTGGAAACGTCCTGGGCTTCTCCTGGTAGGAACCCATGCCATTCTCCGCATCTTGGCCATCTTCCATCATAATCGCGCCCGCAGATCTGCGGGCAATACTCTCTCCCTTCGGCAGCACCAGCTCAATCGAGGCCGGCGGCGGAATTCCCAGCCGCGAGGCAATGCATTCACCGATCTGCGAGGCGATCCAGCAATCTCACGCTCGATCCTCGCCAATCCGAACCTGGACCAAGGAAATGGAGGCGCCGCGTGAGATGAGCAGCGGAAATCCAGCTGAGAAGCAGGCGCGGCGCGCTCCGCCGGCTCTCTCGCCCGATCCCTCGCCCGGAATTCGTGGTAGGGGAAAATAGGGCAAAGGTTCCCAACAGAATCTTCCGTGACGGAAAATGCAACACGATTTAACGGCGGGGATTTGATCGCAATCTGGACAGTGAAAGATTGCGAATATTTGAATATACTGTAGAATATACCTAAACTAGTCACCACGGTAAAGAAACCTCGCTTTATAAAATCTGTCTAGGGCAGGAAGGGAATTTCACGGATCATCGTCGGCGGCGCGCGGCTCGCTCGCATTCTTTAATCAATCAGGTGTGCTCTCGCCCCGCTCCCACTCGCTCCTCCTCCAGCGGGATCAAGATTGCCGAGATTTCGCGAGAGGCTTTTCTCGTCTCGCGGAGGGGTTTTGGTAGGGTTTCTCTGATTCGCAGCTCGCTGGTTTGGCATTTGCCGCGCGCAGGTAGAGATCATCAAGAGGAATGGGCAAGGGACCGGGAATGTTCTCCGACATTGGCAGGAGTACCAGAGGTAGGGAGATTTTTTTTATGCTAGTTCTTTTTAAATTTGTGGGATGAGCAGACCTCCTTAACAAGGACTATTTCTACGACCACAAGTTCACTGTCACGACCACAACCTCGTCTGGCTTGGTAAGTTTCATCTGTTTTGTTCACTTTTTTTTCTTTGTGCTGTGTGATCTTAGCTCTAAGTTTTTTCTTTCTCTGTAGACGTTCACCTCGACTGGAACAAGGAAAGGCGAGTCTCTGGGAGGGGAGCTCTGTGGCCAGTTTAAGCATTACAACATCACCACTGACGTGAAAGTCGACACAAACTCAAACGTACGTAGCCATCACATTTTCCTTTCCTTGTAACGTAGCACCTCCGATCACACAGGTGTATGCCACAGTCACTGGCAATGAAGTCAGCCAAGGAGTGAAGGCGATCATCGGCGTGAATCTCCCCAACGTCTCGACTGGAAAGGTTCGCTAGAAAGCTTTTGGATTTCGATTGTTCTTGCGAAGTAACATCGCTACAGGTGGAAGTTCACTATGTCCACGACAATGTTGGCATCACCAGCGCTGTGGGACTGACTGCCTCGCCTCCAGTGGACGTCACGGCGGCCTTTGGCAACAAGGAGTACTCGCTGGGAGGCGCTGTCTCCCTCGACACTGCCGCTGGAACCGTGAAGAAGTACGAAGCTGGGCTTGGCATCACCAAGCCGGACTTCACCGCTGCTCTCCTCTTGTAAGTCTGGGACGAAGTTCTTGACAAGTCTCAACTTTCTTCCTTTTGCTAGGTGTGACAAAGGAGATACTGTGAAAGTCAGCTATTCACACACGGTCAGTCCACTGACGAAGGCCACTGTCGGCGCGGAGGTGGTGCATTCGATTTCAAAGAAGTTGAATACCTTTACCATCGGTGGCGCGTATAATCTGGACCTCCTCACCACCGTCAAGGCTCGCCTGAATAATCAGGGGAAGCTCGCGGCTCTGATCCAGCACGAGTTCCGGCCGAAGTCGCTCTTGACGATCTCTGGCGAAGTCGACACGAAGTCCCTGAACAAGGACACCAAAGTTGGTCTAGCTCTTTCGCTCAAGCCATGAGCAAGTGAGTAAAAACGTCAGTCGAGTCAGTCAGTCAGGGGTATAATCTCCTGGAACGAACCTTGGAAAAAGAATTTTTCTTTTGTCTGTGACGCTTTTGATGTGAGCAGGAATAATTCGAGCTCGCTTTTTCTCCCCTCTGTTCTCATAAGACGAGCCTCAACTTTGTTCTCCATGTCTTGCCTACAATCTTCTTCGGTGCAGGATCGTCGACGCCTTTGTCTCGCTGCCCCGATGTAAAATAAAGCCATCCATCCCAGAAAGCCGCCAGCGTTGTCTTCACCCTGTACGGCATGCGTCCGATGATCTTCCATCTCTGTTCACGCCAAACATCAGCTCGCAACGGCCGAGAGAATCTCGTACTGCTACTCACCATTTTCGTGAGGCTGAATTGGAGCACGTCCCCCACAAGAACCATCTTTTTCGTGACTGGATTCTTCTCCGTGGTGCCGCCAACGATGACAATGGAATCGTTGACAATCACCCACGCGAACTCGATGTGAGAGTCGGGCTTTGGCATTGGCGGCATGGCTTTCCATGACTTTGCGGCGTTCTCTAGCATGTAGACGTCGCTGTAGACCACCTGGCTTGAAAGATTTAGAGCTGGAGAGAGCGAGAATGGTGTGAACTTACCTCACGCTGCCGAGAGCATTTGAAAATAGGAGACCCGGGCTTGGGCTTGTAATCTCCTTCCTGACCACCAATGACGAAGAGACGATCACCGAAAACAATGCAGGCCCTGCACAAAGGAGAAAGAAATAAATTGGAAACTGGAACGACGTCAAGTTCTTGAGCTCTAGTCTTGAACTTGACTGTTTCCAACTCAAGAACCTGACAAGGAAACGTTTTTACCTGTGAGGACCACCTCGAGGTATTGGAATCTCGGCTCGCCACTTTGTTTCTACCGCCTTTCCGTCTTTCACAGCGAGGCTCCAGTGCTCAAGCGCGGGCTCCCAGCGATCCTCCTTACTGCCACCCATGACATGAAGCCTTCCTCTCCAGAGCTGTGTTGCAGGCGCATATCTATCAGCGTGTGTTTTCATACAGCGAGCCATTCTCGAAAAGAAAAGAAAGAACTTTGTAAGATTTACCTGGGCACCGGAAGTGGAGGAAGACGATCCCACGACTTTGTCTCGGTATCCAGCACGAAGTTGAGATTTGTCGGTCCTCGACACTGGGGGCCATACTGCCCAGTAACAACGTAAACGAAGCGTCCATCCGTGACCATTCCCAGGTGTGAGTGAGCCATTTCCTTTGGCATATCGAAAGTGTCGATCCAAGTGTTTGTCATCAAGTCGAGAACATTGACATGAGAATGTATCTATAGAATGGAAAAGCAAAATGTGAAAGATCTGGAGAAGGAAATCTAATCACTAACCTCGTCAATGGTAGCATATCCAGCGAAAACGTACAAGAGGTTCCGGATTTGTACGGCAGCCCCATCGAGCCTCTTAACAGGACACTCTGCGATTTCTTCCCACTGGATCTCTGGAACGCCTGGTTCTAGCAAATCCATCGCCTCTATCTGTGCATCTTAGAAACGCGGAAGAATCAGCTAGACAGATTTAAATAAAACACTGACAAATGCGAGGAAATCGCAATATCTTCTCGCTCGGCCAGAGATCACACTCACTCACCTCCTGCAGCTTGAGCGGATCATAGCCGAGTGGAATCGAGGAAGGCATCGACCGCGGCGCCGTTGCGTAGGACGAAATCCAGTAGAAATTCCTAAACACCGCCACGATCGCGAGCAGCGCGCACGCCGCGAGCGCTCCATAGCGCACGAGATGCCCTACCGAGCCCACATTCCTCTTCCCCATATACGGATCTCTTCTTCGAATCACTAGGGCTAGGGCTTTACATAGCATATATACCGTACAAAATTTTAAAGTTTAGCCGCCAAAATATTGTCCGGCAATAACGACCGTACAAGACCCCAGGTTTTAGGGTTCTTGGGGAAAACTCTCTACTCTAGCACGTCGTCCAGAGGGGGCCAGTCGCTTCGAGCGCCACGATCCCCCGAAAGTGGTGGCTTTCGCGGTCGGGCGAGCTTGGCGCCGCCGGCGGCGACGACGCTGGGGAGATTTTGATGCTCTCGCTGGTGATTGTGGTGGCGGCGGTGGTGGCGGAGGAGACGCTGTGGTTCTGCCCGACGATGTTGGTGACCATCGCGCTGTGCTGCATTCGAAGGCAAACGTTCTCGGCCTGGGAGATTGCGAGCTGCGTCTGGAGCTGCGCTATCTGCTGGTGTAGTGCCGAGATCGCGCCAACGCAGCCATAGACCGGATCCCTGACCCTGGCATTTGCCTCGTAGACCATGCTACTCACGGCGTCGCCGCGCTGGTGGAGAGGAAGGTCCTGGAAGAGAAACAAGAAGGAAGAAAGAAATCTTTGAGCCCTAAAGAACGATTGGAAATGGAAGAACTTGCGATCGATCGATCACCTGGAGCATCTTGCTCACATTGCTGGCGCCGAAGACCTTGTGGACGAAGGCGAATTTCTGGGGCTCGTCGGGGGGGAAGTATGGCGCAAAGATGCAATCCTGCGCGCATCGCCGGCGGAGGAGCTTGCAAGCAGCGCACGGCGACAGACCTGACGGGGACATTGGCGATCGATCGCGCCGCGCCGCGCCGCGCCGCGCTCGCTGGATCGATCGATTGCTCGTTCGATCGATCGAAGTCGCGAGCTCTTCGTCTTCTTGGAAAATATGTCCTCCTCTCTCTCTCTCTCTCTCTTTAAACCGTGGGAAGGGCAAAAAAATGGAGGCGATGGTATATAAGCTGGCGTGACGTGGTGACGTGTCGCGCCGGATTGGCCCGACGCAAATGGTAAGTGGACGGTGGGAAAAAAAACTTCTTCCTGGAAATTCAACTGGAGATTTCTTTGGATCGTGCGAACCGCGTCCCATGCAAGCATCGAACCCGCGACCTCCAGCTGGGGTGGATCTGAGAATATGCCGCCTTTCAAAATTGGCAAATTGGCGCTGTTTCTATGGTACAAGTTTGAGGAGAGCTTCTTTCCGGTCTCTCACCGTGGCTTGGGCGATGGAGAGGATGAGGAGGAGGAGGGCGATGGAGATGGCAGAGAGGGGGGAAAGAATTGCTGTATTGCTTGCTGCAATTTGCTGAAAGTCACTGGCTTGGCGATGAATGAGTCCATGCCGTGAGTGTAGCATTCCGCGACGTTCTCTGGAAGCGCATTCGCGGTCATCTATTCCAGCCAAAACAGAGAAGGCAGCGATCGATTGATCAGAGAAGAGCTTGTCTCTAACAATTGAGAATGAAGAACAGATGTGATCACTTACAGCTATGATCGTGCTCCTCTTGCCTTGACCATCCCGATTTCCCTGCGTATCGCGGATCAAACGAGTTGCCTCCAATCCATCCATCACGGGCATGATGACGTCCTGATAAAAAGAACTTATCGCCAAGAACGGTCAAGGAAAGAAAGCTGGCAATACCATTAGAATCAAATCGAAGTAATCTCTCTTGATCGCTTCCACAGCCTCGGCTCCATCGTTCACAACTGTTGCTTCGAGCCCCATTCTTCGCAGCATCGACTGGGCAACCATGATGTTCACTTTGTTGTCCTCGGCGAGCAAAACTTTCAACTTAGCCGCATTGCCGCCAATGGTGGTGGCGGTGCTGGTAGCGGGAGCAGGAGCATCGATCTTCGTCGTGGCTTTACCGCTAGCTTCACCGTTTCGATGAGGAGGAGAGCTCGAGCTCTTCCTGGACGAGACACTCTCGCCATTGTTGCCGCTAATTCTCTTGTTCACGCTCGAGCCCCGTGTTCCCGATGATTTTCTTCTCGCCGCCATCGCTGCCGTGCTAAAACTAAAGTGGCTGCTAGCTTGATTGGTACCGTTTGATCCGCAAAGCTTGCAGGGCAGCGTAAACATAAACGTGGAGCCTTTGTTCTCTTCACTGTTAACTTTGAGCTTTCCACCCATGAGTTCCACCTTGAAGAAACGAAGAATCATAGTTATCGTCGAAGGTTCCATAGCATGAATCACGTACCAGTTGCTTGCAAATCGCGAGGCCGAGACCAGTGCCACCATACTTCCTTGCGTGTGTTTCACTCACTTGCATATATTTCGTGAATAGAAACGGGAGAGCCGTGTCTGCGAAACGAAATCAAAGAAAAGGTTAGAACTATCCATCAAACTGTGTATAAACATTTGTGTGGCAGACCTGGAATACCAATGCCCGTGTCCACAATTCGACACTCGAGCCACACCGTGTCGTTGTTTACCCACTGTGGAACGGTGGGAGTGGTAGTCGCAGGAGAAGTGATAGAAGAAGAGCAAGGAGTTTGTAATTCGTTTGAATCGACAATGCTTCCATTTTGCTTGTGAGGAAGTTTTTTGTTGCTGATTTCTATCTCCACCCGGACACTTCCTTGACGAGTAAACTTGATGGCATTGCTGGGAAAAGAAGAAGAAAAAGGTATAAAGCTCGAGAAAAGCCTTGCACGACAGAAAGAATCGAGTTTTTACCTCACCAAGTTTGTCAAGATCTGGCGGACTCTCAACACATCGGCAATCACCTATAAGAAAAGGAGAGAAACCAAGTTACTCTCAACCGTGAAGATCTTAAAAAGCTTTGTCACCTCAAACGGGACTTCGGCCGAGACAAAGCCTTCCAAATTCAAGTCTCGCTTTTGCATCGACGCTGCGGCGATTTGGAGGACGTTCTTGAGGACCTCTCGAGGACGAAACTTTGTAGCCTCGAGCTTCATAGCTCCTGAGTAGCAGAAAAGAGAAGCCACGATTAAAACACCATCAAAAGCTCAAGCTGGTTTCACCTGATTCCACCTTGGAGAGATCGAGAATGTCATTTATAAGTTGCATCACCAGGTCTCCGGATGAAACCATGATATCGACGAGATTTTGCTGCTCGGGATCAAGATTGGTGGCGGCCAAAATCTCGGCCATGCTCACCACTCCACTCAGCGGCGAGCGTATCTCATGCGACATTGTAGCAAGCAGCTGCTTTGCCTTCATCGTTTCCTCTGGAAAAAACCAAAGTATAAGAACAGCACTCAAAGATTTAGCACCAAAAGCTTGCCTGTGATGCGCATTGTCTTGTGAAGCTGCGTTTCCATCGCCTTTTGCACGGCTTCTTCCTCCCTCAAGCGTATGAGCTTCTCCCGGTTTGCAGCCTTGAGAATTTTCTTTTTTCCTTGTCAAAGCTGGAAAACGAAGATTTCACAGTCTCGAAAGTACCTCTTCAGTGACGTCCATGGAGACGATGTTGACACCAATCGTCTGGCCACCTTTGCTGAACACCGGCTCGGCACAGATGAGAAACACCTTGTATCCAAACTCCACCGTGTCGTAGACGAACTCTCGCTTTGCCGGGCACCCCCGGCGAAGAACTTCCTTCTTGAAGTTGTGTGTCATGGTTCCTCCCGGACCCGGGAGAAGCTCCAGGTCCGTCTTTCCAATCACCTCCTGGAAAGCAAAACTCGTAAATCCTGTAGAACACAAGCTCTAGAGCTAGAACTTTAGAGAACTATAGAACTCGCGAATTCTAGAACTATAGAGCTCTAGAAAGCCCACGCTAGCTAGCAGTTCTAAAACAAATGGAAAACTTTGAGGAAGATCGCTACGTACCGATTGCCAGGCCGGATGATTATTGTACATAAATCTATATTTGAGATCCTTGTCCTGGCAATGAGAGTTTAGATCGCAGCGAGGAGAAGCAAGCGAGCAAGAAATCTTTACCTGGTGGCTCAAGAAAATGGGAGCATTCCGGAGCACAAAGTGGAGGAAGTTGTCCACTCGCTCGAGCTGGTTTTGCAGCTCGGTCACCATCGGCTTCACTGCTTCCAGGCGCTTGGATTTCTCCTCGAGTTTCTTGATGAGAATCTCCTCCCGCTGCAAGCTCTCGCCCAGGAGCTGGTTAAACTTCCAAGCCTTGGACTTCCAATGCTCCACCTGGTCGCCATAGCCTTCTCCTCCCTCTTCCAATCCAAAGCTCCCTCTCCTCTCGCAAGAGCAAGCAGCAGCATTGCCGCGGCCATCGCCCTCCAAAGTTCCTGGAGGAGGAGGAGGAGGAGCTCTCCACTCTTTCTCTACAGTGCCAACTTTGCTATCATCCAGCGATGGAGGAGGAAGGACTCCAACCAGCGGAGGAACTCCACTCACTTGCCGCTTGACTTGCTCCTCGAGCGTCCCGGAGCCGCGCAGCACCGATCGATTGTCCCGCGACGCCGCCGCGTAGAAGGATTCCTCGTCGAGAATCCGGCGCCGCTTGCTCTCCGCCTCGCTGCGCTGTGACGAGAGCGACTCCATCTCCTCCTTGAGCAGCTGGACTGCATTGCTGTGACTGGATTCCCACTGCCTGGCCAGCCCGGAGAGCTGCCCGACTCCCACATTCGTGGAGCCAACCAAGCTCGACAGGTAGCTCGAATCGGCGATGCCCGCCTCGCCCGCCAGGGATACGTTGTCCGGCTTCTGCGACAAGCGCTTCTCCCAATTCAGGTCGGGTGGCCACATCGAAGATCTCTTCTCTAGGCTCCCGAGCTCGTCCTGGGAGTGCACGCGATGATCGATTCCAGCTTCCAGCTTGATTGTGATGATCGCGCAGAGCCAAATTCCCCGCAGGGAAGAGATGGTGTGATCGATTCTTCTTCTTACCTCTTTGATCTTACTCCTCTCGTCACCCACATTGGGCATTCACCGCGACGATGGAGACGACCACCCTGGATTTTCGTGGCGAATTCCCGAATCCGCGATCGACCCACTAAATCCGGGGCGCGGAGGCGACTGCCCACATGGATCGATCCGCGCGGCGGCGCTCCTGCCGGGAGCCCACATCGATCGTGTCATGGAGAATCTCCCAAAAGAAGCATTTTTACTTTTGAGAGGAAGTGTTCCTAGGATCACGGATCACGGAGAGACTATAAAGTCTGATGGATGGAAGGAAAAGATTCTTCACGCTTGGAAGCTTGATCGCTCGAGCGAGCTCCTTCCAAATTGGTGAATGCCTTCCTTTTTCGAGGCATCTACGGTGTTCTTTTCCCTCTTTTTTTTTGGTGTGTGAGTGTGTTGATGCCCACTGCTGGTGCATGAATCGCACTGTGGACGGATGGAAGACATCTCCCGGGCCCTCTGAAGAAACTAAAAAACTATACCAAGTTAAACAACCATTTGAAGGGGAAAGTCCTAAGAACTAAAAGCAAAGAGAAACCATACCACATTTCCAACACAAACAACATCGATGTCCTTGTTGCGCCCAAAAGTTACTACACCACCGAGAGCGAGCTTTTCACCATGTCCGCAAACCTGGAGAAATCGCAGGATCAAAACGCTTTCATCGTCTCATTCATTCGCTGTCAGTGTTTTTACCTCGTTCTTCCATTTTTTAAACTTGCTTGCTTCCACTAGCTACGTTGATCCAAGGCACACCATCATCCACGTTCAAGCGCTCTCCTTCCTGCCGTGTAAGATGCAAATTCATGGATTAAACAAAGTTTCTACGAGCCAAGTCACAACACATGCTTGGAGAGATCGGATCGGCTCTTCAAAGCTTTTTGACAGCCGCTTCGAGAAAACACTCGCAAGGATAAGGGAAGCTCATTCGACACACAAAAAGTATGCAAGCCAAGCAAGACAGAAGAAAAAAACACTTTGCTCACGAGCGTTCCTGGCTCTACCAACACGAGTGACAAATCCATGGTCACAACTTAAGGCTCTTCGCTCTTGGCACTTTTGCTGGCTGGAGCAGCTTGTTTACGATTAAACAAGGCTAGTGCTGGTTGGAAGGTCACGCTCATTGACAAAGGCATGTTGAGCGAGAAAATGATGAACATGGGGTGCCAATGGGACCAGAAACTTCCATGCTTTGCTGTAGGATTAGGCAACGATTACATACCTCACCTTGTTTTAGCCTTGTTCTTCGCTTGTGTTCTGTTCGTTTCTCTCGAGTTCCCATGCCTGCCTGTTAAAAGAAGAAAAACAAAGGAAGTTTAGATGGTGATCTTAGTGGAACTCATAAGCGGGTGGCAAGTGGAGCTCAAAAACAATGATGGATGTAATCACGAGGAGGAGAATAAAAAGACTATAACGAGACAGAAACGCTGCTCTGCATGGACCCAGAAAAGCTTAGTTTTGTCCTGGAGCATCCAGGAAGACTGTAAAAACTACGCTGGCTGCGAGAACTAAACAAACGCGAGAGCTTACGAGCCCACGTTCTCGACACAAAAACTAACCTCGAAACGCTGGTGGTTGGGAGGCACCGCAAGCTCCCCGCCTCTACAAAAGCAAAAAAGCCTAGCGTTAGTGCAAGGTAGTCGAGCAAGCATGCACGGGCCAGCAGCATAAGAAGAGAAAAAAACGCGAAAAGTGAAAGAGAAAAGAAGAGTGCTCACCATGGATGGCTGCTGCTGTGCTGGTGTCTATCCATTCAAGGAGATGTTGCCATCGTTACGGTTTTAAAATGCGGGTCAAAACGGGGTCTCACCTTGTTTTTGTTCCTGGAGGGTGAGGACGACTTGTGTGAAGGAGCAACAACGTAAAAAATGAAGAGGATCACCTTTGTGCGGGATATACCAGCGCCTATCGAATACCGTGACCCGACGTTTCAGGAATTGGCAGCAGCCGAAAGTGTCCGACTTAACAGCGGAGAAAGCTCAGCCTGCCAGAAGGGAAATCTTTGTTAGTTACTGATAAGAAAGAAAGACAACAACGCAACCTGAGATGGAAGTGAAAGTAAAACAAGTCGTTTCTCTAAAACAGTAGCGTCAGTCAGTCGAGCATTCAATCGTTCCCATGACTGTTTCCCATGACTATGGAGCTTTGTCTTGGAGCTGTAAATCCGACTCACCTCGCGCATAGATGTTGGACATGAGAGAGTACGCGGAGCCTGTTCCATCGTCGAGCTTGAGAACCGACTGGAAAGCCATCCTGCCAAGCTCCACATCTCTCCACTTGAGGCATGAACTTAACAGCGCCGTCCACAGCACCGTGTCCGCCTTGCAAGGCATCGCCTCCACGGTCTTGAGCGCTTCGTCTAGCCGATTTGCCCGGCACAGAAGATCCACCAAGCAAGTGTAGTGCTGGACGTTTGGAGCCACTCCATACTCGCTGCTCATGGCCTCGAAGAACTCGCGTCCCTTGTCAACCAGCCCGGCGTGGCTGCATGCCGTGAGCAGCGAGACAAAGGTGAACGCACCGTGAAGCACCGAGACGATGAACGTACATTGTTAGCGAGATCACTGCAGGGTTCATAGCAAAAGCGAATAGTGAATACCAATCTTGGAGGCTCTTTGTATTCGAAAATGAAGAGCCAAACTCATCATGGAGACTAGCCTCCTCTCGACTTTACTTCCACCCTGAAAAGAAAACACGATAGATCATTCATTATAAAGCATAGACAATAGTACCTGGATCGTGGCTTGTAGAGAACTATCAGAGCTGGGGAATGGCACCGCATTGTGCGCATTTCTCGCGAGACCTCGAGGAACCCTAAATTAAACCCTAGACCCTCTTCTCAAAGCGGGAAATATTTTCTGGAAAGAAATGGAGATCGCAGAGAATCACATCGATGTCTCTCAATCGAGGATGAATCGAGAGACAACGACGAGCACGACAAGCGCGACGAGCGCGACGAGCGCGACGAGCGCGACGAGGACAATCATGAGCAGCGCATCGACCAGGCCACATCGGTCGTGCGATTCATTGCGGCCTCCCTGGGGCTCGTCACGCTCGCCATTGTCTCCGGCCAGCTCGCTGTCGGCCTGCTGGTGCTCGGCCGCGACCCGATCTCGCTTGTTCTGGAAATCGTCTTCGCCCTGGTCTGGTTCTCCGTGCTTGCGTGCTGGATTGCACAAGAAATGTGGATGATCAAGCAAGAACCAGAAGAGGATCAACCTGCTGCAGCCGCCTCCCACTCCATCTGGAGCAATGCGTTGCGTCGCTCTTGCACAACCGAAATTTCGCGTGGATTCTTCGCGGGCGTCCTCCTCTTCCCCTTCTTGTCACTTGGATTCGCCATATCTCCCTCGATCGATCGCTCGCTCGCTCGCTCGCTTGCTCGGGCTCTCACAAACACAATAAACTCCTAAAGTGAACGAAGGCACTTTAAAACGAAATTCTTCCCGCGCGCCACGTGGCGGGAGCTCGGCAGCGTAAAAGGGGCGATGGAGATTGGGATTAGGGTTGTGGGATCTCGCGGCGCTGAGGAGAGCTGCTCATCCACCAAGCAATTCCTGGCGCAGAGACTCTAGCGAGCCGGAGCTTCCACAGCGTTTTCGCGAGAATGCTGCAAGCTTTGACTGTCGCCAACAATCTGGAGAGCAGTTTTGCGTCACCATGGCATCGACGCTGTTCACAATGTCTATCAAGCCTTGGATCGGCCGGGTAAGCAAGAGCAAGCCTACTCGATATCTCTTCTCTTACGGATTTTCCTTGTTTATCGAGATGAACTTAGTGTTTGTTTTCTAGCCAAGCGATTTGCTTTTTTTCTTTTCTGATCCCAAGTCTTTGTTTTCCAGGTTTGCCAGGATCCAAGATGGGGCCGATGCTTCAGGAGATGCTACAGCGAGAAGCCGCAGCTCGTCAAGGCTATGACGACGATTATCTCGGGGCTTCAAGGTGAGGCCCCTGCCAAAGGAGTTCTATGCGTCGGAGAATGACCAAGAGTTCTTACAACTTTTTCTTTTGGTTTTCCTAGCTGCGGCTTGCTCCAAGCACTATGAACTGTGCCAACAGGAATTCGTGATCCCTGATTGGCAAGGCATTGACAGGATCACAAAACCCGGCACATACTTACACAGTTCTCGTCTCAGTGGAATTGACATGGTGAGAAATGCGTGCTTCTTCTCTCCCAGTTTACCAACCGGAGCTCTCTTTTTTCTACTCGTTTCTCCAGAAGATAATGACTTCTTGCTTCATCATGGTGCCCCGTACGAGTACACCAAGTTCATCGGCACTCTGACGTCTCTGGTGAAGGAAGGTTTCATCTCCATGGACAGGATTGATGACACGGTGCGGAGACTTCGCTTTGTGATGTTCTCGGCAGGTTTGATCGGCGTAAGCGGCCCTCGAAGCTCAAACTTTCGGATTTTTATACGTAAGCTTTCCTGCTAGGCTCACAGAGATCACTGAGCAAAACAGCCTCGAAGGCCCTCGTTGCTGGCAGCAATCTCGGGAATCAATGGCTCCTCGTCGGTGAAAGGTGACTTTGTGATCGTCGTGGTCGTACACAAAGACCCACCCACAGGACGGAGCCAATGCGATCGTCTGGTTCTCTTGAAAAACGGCAAGGATGCCAAGTATCCGCTGCTGCCCGTGGCTGCTAAGACGATCTCGCGTTATTTTTTATGACACGTCCTCAAAAGGTATGGTTGTGATCCTTTTGGTCAAAGGGATCTACCAAAAAAAGGTATAAATTCCCCCTCCAGGATTTTGTAAATTTAGGGTTTGATGGCAGAAGCTTTTGGAAGGTTATATGGGGATCAAGGGTTGGAGAAGAAAATCAATGTTCTTTGGGATTCTGGTAGTGAGTGTGATTTTATTTCAGAAAGACTAGTCAACGAATTTAATATTACTGTGGATATTAATTCACGGGTTAAAGATTTCAAGTTCATGGTGGAAGATTGTGAATTGAAAACAACTCTGACTGTCCTACCAGTGATTCTTGATCACGACATAATTTTAGGTTCACCTTGGATGCATCAACATTGCTTAAAATTGGATTGCAGTGGCAATATAAATAATCTAACTTTTGAGGTAAATGGTATTATATATTGCCTCAGGGGTAATTACAATTTATTCAAGTCTAGAAAATACAAAAGAATAAATCAGCATATATGTCCTCCTTTTTACGACGTGGAGTATAAGGGGAGAATCAATGATCATCAAATCAGAATTGAATTAGATAATGGTTGTGATATATCAGCTATATCACTTGATCTTCTTAAGAAACTTGGAATTAAAGCAGTTCAGAATCAGAAGTATTTTGGGAAAAGGTTAACTGCAAAAGTTCAACTAAAATATGGTTATGGAGCTGAGAATTTATTTTATAACTTGGGAGGTTTTTCAGAAAGTAGAACTTTTCTTGGTATAGTAGATTATTCAGAGAGCATATATCTTGGGATGGACTGGCTTAAGAAACACTCAGCAGTAATTGATTATAGAAATCATACTGTTACTTTTAGAAGTGAATTGGGCTGGTGGTATAGATTTCAATATCCACATGGTATATATGAAGTGAGTAAAGATAAATTTACAGAGGAGATGAGTAGTTTATGTTGGTGCTTAGTTTAATTAAGCACTTATTGTAGCAATTTAATTCACAAAATTATTCACTAAAATAAATCTATATTATGAGTGCACCACCTCACACTAGAATTCTTATTTGCATAGATAGAAATAATTGTGTTTTGTGGTGAGAGAAGGGAACTTTCAAGCGGGGGAGGAAAGAGGGAAGTTGCACTTGCCCTGGGAAGTGAAGGCATGACATTGGTTTGAAGATTTTTGGCCTCAACATCTTTTTTTTCTTCTCAGCTAGAAGCTCTCCTCGCTCCCAAGCGATCAAGTTATGAATCGATCACTCTGTCAGTCAGTACCGAGCTAGAATTATCCGGCTGCCACACCGACATCGGGGATACTGTGTGCTGAGTTAAGTGCATTACCTCATCCGAGCGCCTTTTTATCGTTTCCCTTTGATGTCTTCTAGCTGTATGACTGAAGAACTGATCCAGATGCTTGTTGTTCGCAATGCTGACGTTGCAAGAGAAGATAGAGGCGACAAAAGAGAAACGATTGATTGCTGCTTTGGGATCCACTTAGCGCTGGATGGCCTGGATGAATCACTTTTGAGATGCTCGCTTTGACACCCTCGTCACCCGGATATTTAAAGCAAAAACTTCCATGAAGAAAGAAGATTTACCACGCTCTGATGAAGCGGAACCACCATTCCCATCTCCTCATCTCGCAAAATCTCGCGTCTCGACTTCCCACCTACATCTACCACAACACAAACAAGCAAGCAAAACCACGGCGAGAACAAATCCCAGGCTCGCAATCTCTCACTCGATCCATAGATCAGCGCTTGCCGCCACCGCCGCCAAGCTTGGGCCCCTTGGAAACAGGCCCCCGCTGGATGGGGGCTTTCACCTTGGTGGCCTTGGAGAGCACCTCGGCCTTCTTCGCCTTCTTCTCGTCCTTGGTCTTCTTGATCCTCTCCTTGATCTCCTTGAGCGCCGCCTGGCGCGCAGCCTCCCTCACCTCCGTCTTCTCGGCCCGCTTCTTCTGGATCACCTCACATTTGACACGTGGCGTGCCCACATTCGAGCGTACAAACCGTATGATACCGGCTTCCGGTCGACCTCTTGTGAGAGGAACTGTACGTAGCCCTGACGTAGCGTGTCAAAGTGAGAGTTGTTCTTGGCGATTATTCAAATTTTTGAAATTTGAAAGCGTTGTCGATTTCCAGCCCTTGCAGGTTCTTCATTGCCATCTTGTCCGGGCGTTGCCAAGCAGTCGAGCGATTTCAATCGAAGTTTACCCAGAAGCTCGTCGATGGCATTGGCCAAAACTCGTGGCGAGGATTGCAAGGAACTGTCCTAAACTTCTCGCCACACCTGCTTCCTCCAAGCTCCTCTCGTTCTTTGTCTTGGAGATGGAATATATGAAAAGAAGAACAGCATTTTGGTTAAGCAGACGGGAACAACACCGTGAGCAGCTATAAGCGTCTCGTTGCAACTCAGTTTGACAGTCATGATCTTTCAATTGGAATGACTAGCAAAGAATTACCATAATCTGTCGTATAGAAAAGCAAAAAAAAGAACCTGGAGTTCATTTGCGAATAACTCCAGAGACCCAGAGAATTATGACCGGGGCGTTTTGATGAGTTTGCCTGTACTCTTCGTGGTAGTGGCCCCTGAACTTTAGCTTTGGTTGATCAGCCTGTCAAGATTTTGAGTGACCGATTGAAAGGAAAAAAGAAAAGTTGGTACCAGCATTCCTAGTGTTTGTGCTAGTAGATACAGGGTTTGATGGCAGAAGCTTTTGGAAGGGATCAAGGGTTGGAGAAGAAAATGAATGTTCTTTGGGATTCTGGTTTTAACTGTGATGCTATTTCACAATGATTAGTCGACGAATTTAATATTACTGTGAATAATAATTCACAGGTTAAAGATTTCAAGTTCATGGTGGAAGATTGTGAATTTAAAACAACTCTGACTGTCTTACCAGTGATTTTTGATCACGACATAATTTTGGGTTCACCTTGGATACATTAACACTGCTTAGAATTAGATTGCAGTGTCTAATGTTTGAGGTAAATGGTATTATATATTGCCTCATGGGTAATTACAATTTAATCAACTATAAGGGTGATCATCAAATCAGAATTGAATTAGATAATAGTTGTGATATATCAGCCATATCACTTGATCTTCTTAAAAAAATTGGAATTAAAGCAGTTCAGAATCAGAAGTATTATGGGAACAGGTTAACTGCAAAAGTTCAACTAAAAGATGGTTATGGAGTTGAGAATTTATATTATAACTTGGGAGGTTTTTTAGAAAGTAGAACTTTTCTTGGTATAGTAGATTATTCAGAGAGGATACATCTTGGGATGGACTGGCTTAAGAAACACTCAGCAATAATTGATTAAGAAATCATACTGTTACTTTTAGAAGTGAATTGGGCTGGTGTATAGATTTCAATATCCACATGGTATATATGAAGTGAGTAAAGATAAATTTACTGAGGAGATGAGTAGTTTATGTAGTTTAATTAAGCACGTACTGTAGCAATTTAATGCACACAACTATTCACTAAAAGAAATTATATTGTCCTAATCTTGATGCGAGATTTATGAAGCAAGGGAGTGCACACCCTTCACACTGAATTGTGTTTATAGTGTTAGCGAGAGCATGGGATTTTGGATAAAAAGGGGAGGAAAGAGAGAAGTTGCCTTTCAGGCACTTGCTAAATGTTTCTGTCTGGGAAGTGAAGGCATGATGTTGCTTCGATAAGTGCCCTCCAGTCTTCCATGGCATGTAGATAGAGAGCAGTTGTTGTTGCTGTGGCCACATGAATGTGGGAGGTCGTGACAATAGAATTCCATTGTGGGGAAGAAGAGCTGTAGCTGCACGTATATGGGATGTGAAAGGGTCTTTCTTTCTGTCTTGCACAGTGGGTAGAAACAGGCATCTCTGGTCATGACCTGCATTTGTCTTCGGCCCAGTTTGACGTGAAGTGAGTGTGGGCTTGTTGGTATTTTGCGAGGATGCACCTGGTGTTGTTGACATATTGGAGACTAGAAATTGCCTAGTAGAAGCGAGAAGTTTGAATATACTTTTTAGTTGATCAACTTGATTGCCTTATGTCCTAGGCAAAGGCATTTTACCATAGTTGCATTCCAGGGAGTGATTGGCTCTCCTAGGGCAGATAAAAGCTTCATTTCAGCTCCCCTGTTTAACGTCCTACACTCTCATCTTACGTTTGGACTGCTCACAGGTGTGGAAGTATTGGACAGATGGTGCTGGAAATCTGATCGTGTGTTCATGGCGGCTGACCCGACGTCCGAAAACGCAATCCCAGCTAATACCGAGTATCAGGCTTTGGAGTGTTCAGTACTGGTTTAATCCTCGGTTTTCTTGTAGAGGACGTGATCATCCCTGGAAGCCGAGGCACGTACAAATTACGATGGTGTTGCTGTCTGGTGGGGACTGACTCATAACACAGAGAGCGCTGCCGATTGCTGTCAAGCGTGCTTCAACCAGGCCAAAGCCACTAAGCTGGGCGAGGTGAATGGCAAAATTTGGGTGTTTTGTGCTGCCGAGAACGGCTGCCACTCGCCTGATATTTACGAGCCACAAACACCAGGAATGCTGGCTCAAACAGGTACCGATCAACTTTTCTTTTTAATTTTTCCTTTCAATCGATCCCTCGCACTTGCATGTATCTAGTTTTGAAGAGGTGGTGGAGGGGAAGGAGTGTTGTCGCGTTATTTCTTCTTGACTCAAGTTCTCTTATTTGACAGGAAGCGTGTGGGGCAATGTTTGTCAGCAGTGTTGTCCTTAGATGGAAGGAAAAATTTACTAAGAGTCATGATATATTTCTATGCTTACACTTTGTAGGCATATCACAAATAACACCATTATTCCAATTTCTATTCGTAATATAAATAATATATTTTATTATAAATGATAAATAATATACTTTTTCAAATTTATAAGCATTGCAATTATTTTTTCCTTCAATTTGCATACATAGATATGTATTATATTGGATTTTTTACCACCATACTGTGGGCATTCAAAATGAATATTTGCACAAGATCCTTGAACAACAGGAAATTTGCGGTTTATTTAAAGTGTTTCTCTGGAAGTTGTTGGTCTTTCATCGACAGAAAAAATTTACGGAGCGAGTGGCTCTGCATGCAACACTTCAAAGTTAAAACGAAGAACCCAAGGTTCCACTGAGATGGAACAAAACATTTGAAAGTTACACTTATTCTCGCCATCGTATTGGTGGATTCAAAAGCATTAAAACAGAATATCATTGGGGAGGAGGATACGTGCTTTAAAGAGTGAAACGGAGATGGAAAACGGAAAAACACCAAGCAAGAACTCTCCAGTTGACTCTGCGATATTGGTGCAAAACCGATCTAAGCCAGAAGAGATTGATAGCTAGAGATTTGTAAACAAGAACTTAACAAAGATTTGGGACAACATGGCTTGCTGTGAATCAAAGTGACAAGGAAAACAAAACTAATGGTTTGGATTGCTGAGGACGATCTGCTACCACAAGCTTGACTCCACTCACTTGCCGCTTGACTTGCTCCTCGAGCGTCCCGGAGCCACGCAGCACCGATCGATTGTCCCGCGACGCCGAGAATCCGGCGCCGCTTGCTCTCCGCCTCGCTGCGCTGTGACGAGAGCCACTCCACCTCCTCCTTGAGCAGCCGGACTGCATTGCTGTGACTGGATTCCCACTGCCTGGCCAGCCCGGAGAGCTGCCCGACTCCCACATTCGTGGAGCCAACCAAGCTCGACAGGTAGCTCGAATCGGCGATGCCCGCCTCGCCCGCCAGGGATACGTTGTCCGGCTTCTGCGACAAGCGCTTCTCCCAATTCAGGTCGGGTGGCCACATCGAAGATCTCTTCTCTAGGCTCCCGAGCTCGTCCTGGGAGTGCACGCGATGATCGATTCCAGCTTCCAGCTTGATTGGTTGGATGTGATGATCGAGCAACGCCAAATTACTCGCAGGGAAGAGATGGTGTGATCGATTCTTCTTCTTACCTCTTTGATCTTACTCCTCTCGTCACCCACATTGGGCATTCACCGCGACGATGGAGACGACCACCCTGGATTTTCGTGGCGAATTCCCGAATCCGCGATCGACCCACTAAATCCGGGCCGCGGAGGCGACTGCCCACATGGATCGATCCGCGCGGCGGCGCTCCTGCCGGGAGCCCACATCGATCGTGTCATGGAGAATCTCCCAAAAGAAGCATTTTTACTTTTGAGAGGAAGTGTTCCTAGGATCACGGATCACGGAGAGACTATAAAGTCTGATGGATGGAAGGAAACGATTCTTCACGCTTGGAAGCTTGATCAAGCTCGAGCGAGCTCCTTCCAAATTGGTGAATGCCTTCCTTTTTCGAGGCATCTACGGTGTTCTTTTCCTTTTTTTTTTTGGTGTGTGAGCCACTGCTGGTGCATGAATCGCACTGTGGACGGATGGAAGACATCTCCCAGGCCCTCTGAAGAAACGAAAAAACTATACCAAGTTAAACAACCATTTGAAAGTCCTAAGAACTAAAAGCAAAGAGAAACCATACCACATTTCCAACACAAACAACATCGATGTCCTTGTTGCGCCCAAAAGTTACTACACCACCGCGAGCGAGCTTTTTACCATGTCCGCAAACCTGGAGAAATCGCAGGATCAAAACGCTTTCATCGCGAGCAAGCATGCAGCATAAGAAGAGAAAAAAACGCGAAAAGTGAAAGAGAAAAGAAGAGTGCTCACCATGGATGGCTGCTGCTGTGCTGGTGTCTATCCATTCAAGGAGATGTTGCCATCGTTACGGTTTTAAAATGCGGGTCAAAACGGGGTCTCACCTTGTTTTTGTTCCTGGAGGGTGAGGACGACTTGTGTGAAGGAGCAACAACGTAAAAAATGAAGAGGATCACCTTTGTGCGGGATATACCAGCGCCTATCGAATACCGTGAACCGACGTTTCAGGAATTGCCAGCAGCCGAAAGTGTCCGACTTAACAGCGGAGAAAGCTCAAGAAGGGAAATCTTCGTTAGTTACTGATAAGAAAGAAAGACAACAACGCAACCTGAGATAGAAGTGAAGTAACACATGTCGTTTCTCTCCAACAGTAGCGTCAGTCAGTGGAGCATTAAATCGTTCCCATGACTGTTTCCCATGACTATGAAGCTTTGTCTTGGAGCTGTAAATCCGACTCACCTCGCGCATAGATGTTGGACATGAGAGAGTACGCGGAGCCTGTTCCATCGTCGAGCTTGAGAACCGACTGGAAAGCCATCCTGCCAAGCTCCACATCTCTCCACTTGAGGCATGAACTTAACAGCGCCGTCCACAGCACCGCGTCCGCCTTGCAAGGCATCGCCTCCACGGTCTTGAGCGCTTCGTCTAGCCGATTTGCCCGGCACAGAAGATCCACCAAGCAAGTGTAGTGCTGGACGTTTGGAACCACTCCATACTCGCTGCTCATGGCCTCGAAGAACTCACGTCCCTTGTCAACCAGCCCGGCGTGGCTGCATGCCGTGAGCACCGAGACAAAGGTGACGCCGTCTGGACGTACTCGTTCACGCTTCATGGCCTCGAAGAGCTCAAAGACCCGCAGGCTGTCGCCCTGGCTGCTGTATCCCGCCATGAGAGCACTCCATGCCACCACCGTCTTGTCCGTGATTGCCTCAAACGCCTCCTCGGCTTCGGCCATGCTTCCACACCTCCCGTAGAAGCTAACGAGAGAGCTTCCCACCGATGGCTCTGTATCCAGTCCAGCGCTGCAAGCTTGGACGTGAATCTGCTGCCCGAAGTCCAGTGCTGCAAGGCTGGCGCAGGCTTTGAGAACAGCAACGTAAGTCACCCCGTCCGGTTCCAAGCTTTTCGCTTGCAGCAACCGAGTGTAAAACTCCAAAGCTCGCTCGGGTTCTCCACACTGACTGTATCCCAAGATCATGGAGTTCCAAAGAACAAGGTCCCGACCTTTGATGCTGTCGAAGACTCCCCGAGCATCCTCCATGCTTCGACACTTCGTATACATATCCACCAGGACACTAGCAAAGTAGACATCCAGTTCGCAAATCCCTGCGACTTGCAAGTGGAGAGCTCTGCCTTTTTCCAACCATTTCTTCACAAGCTTGCCGTCTTCTTTCTCCGTTAGAGTCGCAACAGCCTTAAATGCAGTAGTAGCAGTGACATGATCTCCCTTAACACCTTCCTCTTGCATGCTTTCAAACGATTGTAAGACGAGCTTGTGCTGGCCGCCGCAAGCATACCCCAGGATTATCCCCGTCCAAGATATCACATCTCGCACCACCATATCTTCGAAAACCAGCCAAGCATCCACCATGCTTCCACACTTGGCGTACATGTCAACGAGAGCATTATGAACAGAGAGGTCTTCTCCGTCCACAAAAGCGAGAGCTCGAGCATGCACGGCCTTGCCTCTCTCCAAAGCCCGAAGCTTAACGACGCCTCCGTCGACAATCTGGCCCTGTTCCTTCTCAGCCAAGGTGACGCAGGCCTTTAGTGCAGCAAGAACTGTGACACGATCTGGAGCGCAACCATTCTCATCCATGCTAAAGAATATCTCAAGAGCTTGCTCGCCTTTGCCGTTCTGAGCATAACCAAGAGTGAGGCAGTTCCAAGAAACCACGTCTGGACGTTCAATACTGTCGAACAAACTGCGAGACTCCACCATGCTCCCACACTTGGCATAGAACTCCACGAGTGTGTTGGTCACTAAGATGTTTGACGAGTGCTCACCAGCTTCCAAGTGAACGGCCCTTCCTTTTTCCAAGCTCTGAATCTTCAAGACTTGCGTTTCTTCTTCACCATGAACAACTGTCCCAAGTTCCTCGTCTGCGAGACAGCAACAAGCTTTCAGTGCTGCGATGAAAGTTAAAGCATCCGGTGGAGTGTCTCCACGACGCATTCGAGCATAGATATCGAGAGCTTCACCACCCTCGCCGCTGCCGGCATACCCGAGAATCATGCAGTTCCATGTCACCACACTACGATGGCTCATTCCTTCGAAAACTCGACGAGCCTCTGTCAAGCTCCCACATTTTGCGTAAAGATCAATCAACGTGCTCGCGACGAAGAGATCCGAGTCTATGCCAAGTTTTACTGCTTTCCTGTGAATCTCCCTGCTCCTCTCTAAGAATACCACCCGTCGACCATCCAAAGCCTGCCCGGAATCCTTCTCTATCAAGCTGGAACAAGCCTTGAGAGCACCAAGAACTGATACTCGATCCGGTTTGTACCCTTCGTCTTCCATACGAGCAAACAACTGTAGAGCCATGTCACCGTTTCCACTATGTGCATATCCCTGTATGATCGAATTCCAGGAGACAACATCGCGATGCGGCATGCTGTTAAATGCTGCACGGGCATCTATCATGCTTCCGCATTTCGCGTACAGATCAAGCAGGATGTTGGCGACGATAATGTTTGAGAAGTCACCTGTCTCGGAAACATCCCTGTGAATTCTCCTGCCTAGTTGTAGATCTCTCATGCTTCTACATACCTTGAGAGCGCCAACAACAATGCCAATGGCTGGTTTCAATTCCTGACGTTGCATTCGTCTGTACACTGCAAGAGCATCCTCATCTGAAAGACCCTGAGGTTTCTGCAGAAGTGGACCAACCTTCGTTTCCATCAAGGACAGATTATGGATTCTACGAAGGCCGTAGTAAGAAACGATAAAGCGAGCTCAAAATTTTCATACCTCGAGCCTGATCAGTTCACCGCTGCTAAACAACCTGCAGCGTTTCAAGTTCCTTCAATGCAGCAAGATCGCTTGACTTATCCCTCGACAAGCACCAGCTCTACGTCAATATCTTTGCAAGAAAAATTAAAAAATCACGAAACGAATAGCCAGATACCTGTGTTTAGACACGCTGCAGCATTTCAAGTTCTTTCTCCAGCCACTGCAATGCAGCAAGATCGTTTGACTTGTCCCTGGACAAGCACCACTCAACTGGTAGCTCTACGTTAATATCTCTGCAAGAAAAAGGAAATAAGAACATCACCTGGATGCTAGAAAAGAATAGCCAGTTACCTGCGTAAGGACAAAACTTCCAAGTTTTTCTCAAGCAACACGGAATGCTCCTTGAGAGCATCTTGTATGTAGGGCTTCCCAACCGTCCGAAATGCCGCTGCACTTAATAGATTTTCTAGCGAGCCGTGCTTCCTCATAAGTTTCAGAGCTGTTTTCCGTCCAAACCCAGGCACACCGGGAACACCATCAGCAGCATCCCCTAGCAAGCATCCTTGGAAAGAATTTTTTTTTGGAATAATCAGCCAAACTTACGAAACTGGATACTTACGAAGTCCCAATTCAATCCCAGGCTCGCATTTGTGTTGTTCAACGTAATCCTTGACTGTGTAAAATGACCACCTTCGTAGATCCGCGAACGGAATCAGCAGCTCGACGTTTTCCGAAACAAGCTGCTTGAAATCTTTATCTGGAGATGCAATGACTGCTTTCAAACTCCTGTCGTTAACTTGCCGAGCTAGTGTCGCAATGACGTCGTCCGCTTCAACATTATCAACTTTCACAACCTGTCAGCAATGAACTTCGTTTTAGCTCATGGAAAAAGGAAGAATGAAAGATCGAGGACTTACAGGTATGTTACACTGTCGAAGAAAGCATTGGAAACGAGAGAAACTCGCCTCTAAACCTCTTGTCCATTTGAAGCTCGGATCTAGAGGCTTGAATTTCCTCCTTCCAGCCTTGTAAGAAGGAAGAATTTTTCTCCTATAGTCATTCCCAAATTCGCCATCGAAAACCTGCGCTACACACTCGCATTTCATCCAATCCAGCAACAACAAAACGAGACTTACAGCAATCACTGGATCGTCAAGCACAATCCTGCGAAGAAACGCTCTCATCCACCACAAAAACTCGCTGGAATCCGGCTTGCTCCCGCGGTAGCACAGCGGATGGACGTCCAAGACATAGACCCTGCTCACAGATTTCCTGGCAAATCCGATGGAATCCGTCCGGGCGCCACCAAGAACTGGCGATTCCGAGCGGGAGCGCGCTGCGCGATCCAAGGCGCTGCCGCCATGGCATTGGACAAGATTCACTAGCATTGTACCCTAGGTCCTAAAAATATTTCAAACGAAATGGTGATCGTGTTCCTCGGAAGAACTCGATCGATTCGATCGATCGACAGCTACATTCCTAGCAAGAGTCGAATCAAAACACACGAGTGCCACTGGTGCGGCAGAAATCCGAGCGCAAGCTCGCAGCTACGTGCGACACATCCGCGGCGCCATTATATTCATAACTGGGCACTCGCTCGATCGAGAAAGAGCTAAATCTCTCGCGGCTAAGCGCCCGGACCTGGCGCCACAGCGCCTGCGTGAGAGGGCTCCGGGCGTACCACTCCGCCGAGACGTGGTTGACAACGAGCTGGGAGTCGCCATAGACGTGGAGGATGGAGACGCGGAGGCGGGAGGCGGTGTGGAGGCCGGCGACGAGCGCGCGGTACTCGGCCTCGATGATGGGGGCGCCGGGCCCGAGGTAAATCCCGCCGTGGGCGACCTCGGCATCGCGGTAATCGAGGAGGAGGAAGCCGCCGGCGGTATGGCCATTGGGGAGGCGTGTACCGTGGAAGTAGAGGGCGTGACGCACGGACATGGTGGCAGCATGGCGGACGTGGAGGGGCAAACCTATATAGGCGCGACACGTGTCTTTTTTAACAAAGTGACGTGGTAAGCTTAGTTAAAAGGCTTCCTTTAGGGCAAATAGCATAAATTGCTTCCTTTAAGCTTAAAATGCTTCCTTTTAGGGCAAATAGGAGCTATGTCGTGTGATTTGCGGGATGTGGAATCGTGGATTTCGCAGTGGCGCCTCTTCCAATTCGATGAGAAGAAGAAGAAGAAGAATTTTCGTCCAGGAAGGAGAATGCGAGAGCTCCAGCAGAGTGTCGATGATTCTGGCCGCCTTGAGAGCGACAAGGGTTTCACGGGACATCGATCGCGGCAGGCAAATCCACGATGAAGCGGCGGGCATAGGCTGCGATTCCCACCCCCGAGTTGCCAGCGCGCTGATCGCGATGTATTCCAAGTGCCACAGCATGGCGGAGGCGCGTGGGGTGTTTGATGCGCTGGAATACCCCGATGTGGTGTCTTGGAACGCGATCGTGCTGGGCTACGCCGAGAATGGGGACGGATCCAACGCGCTTGAGCTCTTTTCCAGGATGGGATCGTCACCAAATGAGAGGAGCTTTGTAGCAGCGCTCAAGGCGTGTAGCTCCATCGCGGCTCTGGACGATGCGAGAAAGGTCGAGGCTCTGGAGATGGGAGTTTGGATCCATTGGAGAGCTTCCATGGCTGGATGCTGCGACTCCAACGTCTTTGTCTCGAATTCTCTGGTGGACATGTACGCGAAGTGTGGGAGCATTGTCGAAGCGCGTAGGATTTTCGATGGAATGGAAGCTCCCAGCGTTGTCTCCTGGAACGCGCTGTTGCTTGGCTTTGCTGAGAACGGGCAGGAGGAACAGGCTCTAGCTTACTTTGCGAAGATGGTCCATGACGACGATCACTCCACCATGAAAGCTTGCCGACCGGATTCTCGGACTTTCGCAGCTCTGGCCAAGGCTTGCTCGAACTTGGCGATCAAGGAGGGTGGCGAGGAGATCCATGGACGAACTGTCAAGCTCGAGTCTCTGAGAAAAGGTATGGATCTTCACGCCTCATCTTTGAGACTTGGATGTAGTTTTGACGATGTGTTCTTGGTCAGTGCGCTTGTGAGCATGTACGCTAAATGCGGGAGCATGACCGACGCTGGACGAGTTTTCAGCCGAGCTGCTCGTCTCGACGTCGTCTCGTGGAACTCTCTCATACTCGGCTATGCCGAGAACGGGGAAGAGGAGACAGCTTTGGAGATCTTCACCACCATTTTTGCGACATGCTGTGCTCCGACGGCTTTGAGCTTCGTCGCTGCTCTCACGGCGTGCATCAGCCTGGCTGCCAAGGAAGAAGCTCGAGTTATCGATGGAGGAAAGCTCGCCAAGATCCGGTGCCTGGAGAGAGGAATGGCTGTTCATGCTCAAGCGTTGGAACTGGGTCTTGACACGGAAAGCTACGTTGCGAGCAGACTCGTCACCTTGTATGCGAAGTCTGGAACCTTGGCCGATGCTTGGAGAGTCTTCACCACAATGCCAAGTTACGATCTCGTCTCGAGCACTGCACTGATGCAAGCCTGCGTTGACAACGAAGAACTGGAGCTGGCTCTCGAGATCTATGCTCTCTGCCACGACAATCGAGAGCTTTGTGGTCTCCAGAGCAGGGACGCTGGAGTCTTGGTGACAGCACTCAAGGCCTGTGGAGATCTTGCGGCACTAAACGCTGGAAGACAGGTCCATGCCGACGTTTGCCTGAGTGGAGTCGAGGAAAATCCAGCTTTACGATCCTGCCTGGTGGATTTCTACAGCAAATGTGGAAGCATGGTGGATTCACAGGTGTTCTTCGATTCATCCGCAACAAGAAACTCAATAGCCTAGACGGTGCTCATTGCCGGATACAACTATCCAGGGAGCTCAGCACAGGTTTTTGAGAACGAGAGACGAAGGTTTCCAAGCAGACACTGCGACTTTGTGCTGCATCATCACTGCTTGTAACTGCTCGGGCCTCGTCGAAAAAGGCAACAAGTTTTTCGACGCAGTGGTCTCCAAGCACGAGACTGTGCCAGACCGAAACTTGTATCACTCGGCAATTGACATGCTGGGTCGAGTGAACTTCTTCCAAGAGGCGATTGGTCTCGCGAAGGCAATGCCGTTTACGCCGACGTCCCGGACTTGGACGACGCTCCTCGGCACATGCTCAAAGTGGAATAATGTCGAGGTGGCTCGGTTTGCAATTTGGGAAGTTTTTGGAGCTGGAAGACAGGGGTGATAGCTCGGCTTACATCCTCATGGCGAATATATTCAACAGCTGGAAGAGGTAACCATTCAGAAAATCAGTTCGACTAAAGAAACATGCCTGGTATTATGAAATACGTGGTTGTTGACACAAGATCTGTTTTGAATATCTCAACAAGGGTGGAGTAAAACAATGTCAGGATGTTGATGTAGGGCACACAACATTTAGTTGTAGCAAGGTCTCATGGACTTTGTGAAGGCACAACCTATTGTGTTTCGAGCATCATTGAAGCGCACAGGATTTTCAAGCTGAAGAGCTTTACGAAGATGGTCCATGACCATCACTCCACCATGAATGTTTGCCCAAGGCTTGCTCAAGATCCATCGATGAATCAAAGGTCTGGATCTTCAGGCTTTTTTTTTGTGCTCTTGGTCAGTTCTTGATTATACAGATCACGGCCTTTAGGAGGAATTCTACAAACTACAACTTGAATAAGCGGGTATATGATCTGAAAAAGAAATCATGCTACCATTGCTTTAAAGAGATAGGAAAAAATTCTCCCTCCCAGGTAGAAGAGCTGTGTGACATCACTTGCAACTTCATAACTAACTTGGCCATGGAGGATTTAGCACTGGGACTTGTCCAAGATGGCAGCAAAGTTGTGGTCAAAAGGAACAATTTGAGGCCGAGATGAGAACCATTGGAAGCATCCATGACCAAAACTTGGTCAGGTTGCAAGGCTATGGTGCTCACAACCAGCTCTACTACCTGGTATACGAGTTTGTGGAGAATATAAGCTGCTCTTTAGTAAAATTGATGAACAAGCAGGGACATTTGAGTTGGAAGATAAGATCCCCGGATCGCCTTGGACATCGCTCGAGGACTGGATTATCTTCACAGAGGATGCAAGCCGCAAAACATCCTTCTTGAGGCGGACTTTGGAGCTAAGATTTGTCACTTTGGACTTGCTAGGCTGGTTGAGAGGAGCAATCACGAGAAGAACTTTCTGAACACGGTGATGTGAGGAACTCCCGGATACATGGCTCCATTCCCGGGTGATAGATGAGGCAGATGTTTACAGCTTTGGGATTGTTTTGCTAAATGGTTCCCCTGCCATCTAGAACCTCGATCACTTCTTGAAAGTAAAAGCATTTGAAAACGTGGATCCAGGGCTGTTGCTTGTGGAAGAGCCCAATGACCGCGGCCTGATGACCTCAAGTGCCTTTCTAAAGGTGCCTCGAATACATGGAACCCCATCGTATCCTCGAGGAATGCCACTTGATCGTAGCCGCACATGCCATGGACGGCCTGGCGCGCACGGGATAGTGTTATAATTTATTTGAAGGAGTATTGAATGAGAGTGTAGTTGAGACGAATAAAAACGTTTAAAACAAAGGTAATATATGTTTTCGTATCCATTGTGTGCATTGTATAATCTCTTTTTGGTGTTTGTCAAATGTATTGTGTTAGATTTATTTTAAAAGTATTTTTTTCTTTAATTGATCTGAAATTGATCTTATTAAAAAGGTTTTATATTAACAATTGAAACCTAATATCATTATATTTGTGGTAAAACTATGATTTTCTTCAGAGATTAATTCTCTCTAAAGGATAAATTATAATCTCATGACAGACATAAGGGAATGATAATCGTAATGTTTATGAAATTAGAATTTGGTCAGATTTTAATTGTAATATAAGACCTTTTCAATTAAATCAATTTCTTATTTGGGAAATTTAAACAAAAAAATTGCTCTTACATATTTTAGTCCATTTCAAATTAAATCAAGCATATATTCAACAAACACTAAGAACAAATTGCATGATGCATATATTACTTACATTTCTAAAATCTACTTCCAGAGTGTTAGTGAACTAAAGTATATAGAATTTTTTGCTCCAAAATAGTTAATAGTCCTCTTGACGAACATACAGCAGCAGCAATGAAAAGCTATAATGATATCTACAAAATAATGGTAGAAAAACATACATTAACAATTAAAGTATACTTAAAATTTAAATTTAAATAATAAAAAATTGCAAACTTAACTAATGATTACTTATTTTCAAAAAATATAGATATATTTTATAATAAAATTTATTATTACAATTAAAGTTAACTTTTACATAGAATATGTAAAAACGAGTTCTCTTTATTTAAACCTCCCAAATATGAAATTAATTTCTCAAAAAAGGTAAATATTTTTAAATTAGCTGTGATGATGTTAACCCATACATAAACTATTTTTTATTTTAGGTCAAACTCTAAATATTTTATTCCCAATGACTTTAGTTATAAGTATAAAATTATTATTTTAAAGTCTATCATAAAGTACTGAAAGAAAACATTATCAAGTCGAAAAGGTAAAAAAAACAATGAATAAAAAGCTTAGAATAAGGGTAAAACATACGCTTATACGTGTTGCTTATATTATGTGAATTCTTTTTAATTATATATACAACATTATTTTAAGTTAAATAAATTTCCTACTTACAGTTTTAAAAGTTTCTATAAAATTAAATATATAAAAATTGCAAAAGAAAAATCTATAAAAATACCAAAAAGATTTTATGCTTTAATGTAAAAGAAATATGTAAATTAGTGTTTTATACCAA